TGTAGACTGTGCCCTATTGTCCTTGTAGACTGTGCCCTATTGTCCATGTAGACTGTGCCCTATTGTCCATGTAGACTGTGTCCTAGTGTTTATGTAGACTGTGCCCTATTGTCCATGTAGACTGTGCCCTATTGTCCATGTAGACTGTGCCGTAATGTCCATGTAGACTGTGCCGTAATGTCCGTGTAGACTGTGCCGAAATGTCCGTGTAGACTGTGCCNACAAATGGTGAACTGTTTCAATGCGATTCCATTCGGTCTCGGAAAGTGAATACCAGAGTTCACCGCCAAAAAGGCTACTTGGCATTACAATTGTTTTATACAGCTTAGCACCGGTCAATGGGTTGATTCCAGTACCAAATAAGTTGCAGTTAAGCAAAGCAAAACATTGACCACGTAGCTTGTGAACAATCTCATTGACATCTGGACAGCCTGGTTTGAACTTATTCAAAAAGATACCGACATGTTTACAATGAATAGATTCAGGGAGTGCTTCGCTGCCGAGACTCCATCTGCGTGTTATCTTTGAAAAGACACTTTTGCTTTCATTAAAATCAATTACGCTAGTGTCCGTGTAGACTGTGCCCTAGTGTCCGTGTAGACTGTGCCCGAATGTCCATGATACCTCTCTTTCTTATTCGTCCCAAGACTTAAACACAATTTCATCCAATGCAAAATCTTATCTGAGAAAACTTGAAGTTTGGTCCAAAGAATGGCTGGTGTCTTTTAACCCTACAAAAACTGAGGCCCTAGTCATCTCAAATCGGCAACTTCCATCCATCCCTGCATTCACATTTAATAACACCCCATTCAAATTACTAACCAACATATACGCACTTAGGTGTTATTCTTACTAACGACTGTTAATGGAATGTTCATGTTGAATATATTGTCAGTAAAGTAACCAAATATATAGCAACCCTTCGTAAACTAAAACTTATTTTAAAAAGAAATACATTAGAAAAACTATATCTTACTTATGTTCGACCACTACTGGAATATGCATGTGAAGTATGGGACAACTGCGGTGAAACAAATGCCCTAGCTGTTACCAGAAAAAAAAATCCATCTAGAAGCTGCAAGAATAGTCACTAAAAAAGATTTCTTATATCAAGAAATCGGATGGTTACCCCTTTCGAAAAGAAGAGATGCTCGGAAACTTTCCTTGTTGTATTCTATAGTAAATAACATGGCATCTAAATTTCTTACTGACCTATTACCAATGTATATTGGAAATATAGCTCCGTATAATTTGCGAAATGCACATTTACTGCGGGAACATCACTTCCGTTTACAACAATCAAAAATTTCTTTCTTTCCTTCCACATTAAAATTCTGGAACAACACTGTAAAACACTCACCCTCACTAAATTCTTTCAAGTCTAATGTAAAAAAGTCTATGATAGTAAATACTTTGTTTAGCAAGCATTTCATAAACTATGGACCGAGAAAATTAAATATACTCCTTTGTCGTCTTAGAAATCGAGCTAGCTCATTAAATTATGATCTTTTCAGAGCAAATCTTATAGGTTCAGCTGATTGCGGGTGTGGGCATCCCTGTGAAGATTGTTATCATTTTTTCCTTATTTGTCCTCTGTATTCTAATTTACGAGGTACGAAGGCGACATAAACGTAGATATTCTTTGTAAAGGTGACCCCAACATCTCACCAGATGATAATATGAAACTAGCCAAGGCTGCACAGCATTTCCTGGGAAGATCGGGTACATTTGACTAACTACCCGCCCCACCCCTCTCTATCCAACCTCCGACCCCAGTCCTGTCTCCTGGTTCTTCTNAATCTTATCTGAGAAAACTTGAAGTTTGGTCCAAAGAATGGCTGGTGTCTTTTAACCCTACAAAAACTGAGGCCCTAGTCATCTCAAATCGGCAACTTCCATCCATCCCTGCATTCACATTTAATAACACCCCATTCAAATTACTAACCAACATATACGCACTTAGGTGTTATTCTTACTAACGACTGTTAATGGAATGTTCATGTTGAATATATTGTCAGTAAAGTAACCAAATATATAGCAACCCTTCGTAAACTAAAACTTATTTTAAAAAGAAATACATTAGAAAAACTATATCTTACTTATGTTCGACCACTACTGGAATATGCATGTGAAGTATGGGACAACTGCGGTGAAACAAATGCCCTAGCTGTTACCAGAAAAAAAAATCCATCTAGAAGCTGCAAGAATAGTCACTAAAAAAGATTTCTTATATCAAGAAATCGGATGGTTACCCCTTTCGAAAAGAAGAGATGCTCGGAAACTTTCCTTGTTGTATTCTATAGTAAATAACATGGCATCTAAATTTCTTACTGACCTATTACCAATGTATATTGGAAATATAGCTCCGTATAATTTGCGAAATGCACATTTACTGCGGGAACATCACTTCCGTTTACAACAATCAAAAATTTCTTTCTTTCCTTCCACATTAAAATTCTGGAACAACACTGTAAAACACTCACCCTCACTAAATTCTTTCAAGTCTAATGTAAAAAAGTCTATGATAGTAAATACTTTGTTTAGCAAGCATTTCATAAACTATGGACCGAGAAAATTAAATATACTCCTTTGTCGTCTTAGAAATCGAGCTAGCTCATTAAATTATGATCTTTTCAGAGCAAATCTTATAGGTTCAGCTGATTGCGGGTGTGGGCATCCCTGTGAAGATTGTTATCATTTTTTCCTTATTTGTCCTCTGTATTCTAATTTACGAGGTACGAAGGCGACATAAACGTAGATATTCTTTGTAAAGGTGACCCCAACATCTCACCAGATGATAATATGAAACTAGCCAAGGCTGCACAGCATTTCCTGGGAAGATCGGGTACATTTGACTAACTACCCGCCCCACCCCTCTCTATCCAACCTCCGACCCCAGTCCTGTCTCCTGGTTCTTCTCTTACCCCCCCCCCCCCCCCCCCCCCCCCNATACAATTAATTAATAACATAGTTATTTTCTTACCATCATGTGACAATTGTGTATTATTATATTTGTCTTTATTACGGGAGAAGTCAATTGATAAGTTGGAAAAACTTACCGACAAATCCCTTTGTCAATATGTTGTCAATAATATATGTTTAAACTTAAAAACTTCAAATTCTGTGTAAATAGTTATCGTAATTAATTTTCGTTATGAAGCTGTGTTACCAAGATGGTCTGTCAAATAATGTTTGTGTCGCCATCGACTAAACACTTATATCGGATACTGGCACTTACTTAAAGAGATGGGTTTCAGGGCAGATGCGGGAATTTTGAAAGGTAGAGAAAGGAGTTGTGCGGAGATTTTTTTTGTAGTAGTTTTAGGTCTGTGTACTTTAGTATACTGTTTGCGCTTAAGAGGTGATGCAGTAAAATATAAAAGAAATTACATGCACTCCGGTCAGCGGCAAACTTAGGCATCTAAAACGTGTATTTTAACTTGATGACTTGTTATTTTGATATTCTTTCTAAATCGAAACAGTTAAATTAAATCTTACAAACTTCCAGTATGATAAAAAAGCAATGCCGAGCGAAGCGTGGCGATTTTTTCTTCTTCTTTTTAAAACAAATAAATACAATTGTATTGTTCATCACATTATGTATCTAGTTGTATAGAGATACAGAATGAATTAGAAGCGTTGTGTTTGACCTTTTTATATATATTTAAATGAATTTCTAAATGTCTAGAGGTCTAGGTTTTTCTCTTTTAAAAAATCAATAATATAATAACTAGTAATTGATTATACAAGTGGGGTCATACTATGTTTATTGTCGAGGGGAGAAAGGCTGATTTTCTTGTTGTAGTAATATATATCAACAGACCCTGACAGCCACCGATGATTAGTTTAAACATGAGCAGTACTACATGATCTAGTCAAAATAGTACGATGTCCTCGTATCCGATAGCTACTTTTGAGAGGACGGGTGAGAGCCTAAATTATTCTAGCACCTGCACAGACCAACTCCTTCCCTACACTCACTACACTGACCAGTATTATAAAATATATCAACAAAGGTATATAGTCAATAGAAGTGTTTTATATACAATATTATACTTGAACAAACAGATGCACATTTAGATAGTAGGTTTATTTAGTCAACTGACAAAGCAATATAGTGTGATGCAGAGACATATATATCTAATATAGGCCTTATTAATGATCTTGTCGAATACCGTGTATATTGAGAGGCCTAACTATCACAGGCATTTGTTTCTGTCAATAAAAATAGTCATGACAACAAAAATTCACCCTACTCATAAAAAATACTTGTTTTTGTCAAGACTATTTTTTTATTGACAAAAACAAACGCCTGAGTATAGAAAGGGCACGTTGACCATCGGCGATCGTAGAGCACACGCTCTTGTTATGACTCCCCTGTACATATCTAACGTTACCATACAATATCCCTTGACTAACAAAAACGACGTGGAAGGATCAGTCCTAAAGATTTAAAGTGGGGACACCAGTTAAAATTAAAGACACAAGCTATTGTTAGCAGGATTGATTTGCGCCTGGCCATCGAAAAACAAATTTAGTAATTGCATCCGGGGATCTTTTGAAAGAGTCCATTGTGATTGGTTTATCTTCGGACAGCGAAGATATGCCCATTGCATTAAACGCGTTTGTAACCGTCAATCTGATTGGTTGATACGGCGAAGCGTTCAAGGATAAAAAAATATATAGATTATGTAAAAAATGATGAAAATCATTTAAGAAAAACAGTAAAAGCTTCTATTGTTAAGATTCCATCTACTATGTTGATGTTTCATATTATTTATTTTTTGCAACATATATTAACATTGATTCTTTGCTAGTTCCAAACTTCATCCACTGGCCAATCAAAACTCTTCTTATGGAAGGGCACTCGCTATTCACACGATGCATGATGTTGAGGTTATAAGCGGTCTAAACTCAACAAAATCATCCGGTTGAAAATTGTCTATTTTTCTTGACAAAGGACAGGTAGGATGTTTATATGTCGTTTGATTTGTGTATTTATTTGTTAATTATATCATCCTCTGTGTCATTTACGTTGAATTGACAACATGCCCCTTACGGTGGTCCCTATTTGTCCCTGGCTTCTGTTGGATAAAATTCTCCAAAAACTACACACCGAAATGGCGTTCAAAGGAAACTTTCCATTGTTGTGTGGTGACAGAGATAGGTAAATGTACATTTTGGTTGTAGTTTTTGTCTTAGTTTATGGAATATGAGTTAATAGGGGAATAATAAGCAGTTGTTGTCACTCGGAAAGCGTTGCACGTGCGTCGGTAAATACACAATACGGGTTGTCCCGTGGATGGGGCCCAAACAGAAAAATCATTATCTTAGTACACACACGCGGTACACTAATGGCCGACCTCTTTGTCTTCGCCAAGTCGTTGGCTCGTTATTTGTATATATTCTATGTTTTTTTGGTAATTTTTATGTCTGAATTTGTGTCGGGTTCTTATTCTGAACCCCTAAGTACAAGCGAGAGAGTTTCGTTTCGTGGTTCATCTCGACCTCAATTGAGGCCCACGACGGGATACTTAATCCTCTATAAGACTGTCTTTATAAATGAACTCTGTTATATAGCAGTTATATTTGAAATAGGACTATGTTTAAGTAATATCACATATTTCGTGTAGCTTTTACTGTGTTTTACCTTTTTCTGTATTCAGATATATTTCAATTTTGAAATATGTAAAGGAAATCCCCTTATAATATTTGAGGTTGGGGAAAACCCCAGTTATTTGGGAAGATCCACCTTTATTTTTACCTTTGTGCATATGGGATGAACCAAACCTTGCTGTAGTTACGTAAGATCAGCAAGGTAAGTTGTGTTCAATATATTTTGTTAGATTTGAATATAAATGGGCCAATTTATAAGCAAAATTGATATGTCAACACTTTCCCATTTTATACCAAATAATACTGTTATGATTAAAAATAATCTAGTTTCCTTATTCAGTTCACTAATGTTACAGAACATTTTACTTAACATTTTCCTGGTTGTCAAACGGTTATGGTTATTGCTTGTAGACTGATTGATCATAAATGGGAATATCATACTTCCCAACTCTCCCTACTTCGGGGGGAGACTCTTGAATTTGGACCTTAAACTGGTATTTCAGCCAGTGAACTTGTCAGACTATTCCGATATACTATGGTCTTATGATTTCACCTGAAAGAAAAACTCAAAAGATGCTATTATACAGTGTTATTTTTATTTTATATAGACATTTTATTTATGTTTATTAATTTGAGCAGCAGAATGTCTGCTATAAAAAAATCAAAAGGTTGCCAAGGAAGAAATATTTTCAAAGTCTGCTGTTCCCAAAGAAGGACTAGCAAATAATATATTCAGATAGTCATATTGATTGTCAGGGAAACAATAATGTCTTACCCAGCATGTTATGTAGTCACATATCATGTTTGTTTACAAGAACAAACATGTAATTTATTACATCGTTTTCAGATATCCTGATTTACTGTATATCATTCCTTAAGTCAGCAGGAATAGGAATATAACTTACTGATACCATATCTAATATAATGGGGATGCACTGCATGGTTAAATGATGAGTGGGGCACTTTTACACACCATTTCCCCCCAAACAGCATATTTCGACTGTTTTCTCACTGCTGTATTAAAGACATGAAGTACTAGTACGCGTTATCCCACTCCCCTATTTATTTCTGCATCAATAAATTATGGTATCATTCAAAAGTTTGAATTGTTATCTGTGTCCGCAGTAAAATGTTTCTTCACAGCTTTCTTTCAGTACACTAGTGTACAGTACCATATCATGACAGAAGTTGTCTAATTCACAAAAACAAACATATTACTATCAAGTGTGTCAAGCTTTTTTTTATATATAAGAAGTGCATCAACCCTCCCATGCCGACAAACAGGCAGTATATTTCCATTTGAAGTCGGTTACATTCAGTAGCAGCCTCCCCTACCATAAGCTGATACAAGTGACAAGCAGGAAAACCAACCTCACACTATTTTTGAGGAAAACATGATTTATTTATTTTTTATTTTGAATTATTTGAGCCTTACTCAAAATTGGTAATAATAACAAAATAAAATTGAAGGCATCGGTTAACTTGATCAAATATTGCCTTTTTGCGTTGTCATTGATGGACAATCTTGAAAGCATTGTTTTTTAAGGGTCCTAGAGAATTAAGCAAAGTGAAAATCAGACAGCAAAGTAATGTTGTAGAGGTGATTTTAAAATAACCTGGTTTCCAACTGAAAACATTAGTGTGAGACCAAACACATCAGAGACTGGGGTGATATGTGTATAAAATCAGGTCTCAGCAGGTTTCACAATAAACTATAGTGCCTCTAGTATCTAAAGTTGCCGACATTAATTATCCATAACATATTTACAGAGAGAAAAAAACACCAGCTTCATACTCTGACTTGGACTGGAGAAGGCTCAACTTTAAGCAATTGAAATTGTGCATTTTATTGATTTTTAGCTCACCTGGCCTGAGAAGGCATATGAGCTTATTCTGTGGCATAGCGTTTGTCCATTCTCAACTTCCTTCTGTGGTGCAGGGTTTGTCAAGCTTGTTAGCTTCTATATAATTTTGCAGTGAAATGTTAGCGCATCATTGATATTCTGTGGTATTTGTGTTTCATTTTATAGTTATCTTTATTCTGTGACATATATTATATATTATATTTTACATCATTCTGTTACCTTATTTTATGTTTTGTCAACATTATTCTGTTACCTTATTTTTCCCCTTTTGTCCCCTTTTTTTCTGTGATAGTGTTTGACTGGTCAATGTTTAATGATTTGTGGTACAGTGTTAGGCAGTCTTGTAATGTTTTCATGAGAAATGGAATAATTTTGTTAAATAAATGTAAATGTGTGCTAAAATTCTCTTAATTGCTTTTCAGGTGCTAGTCAAGTGCTGGTCCTGTCGATGACACTACAATGGACTTTATAGAGAAGTAGGATTGTACAATACGTTGATTAGGGTCGACCAGACACGCATGTGGCTGGTGTTCGCCTCACAATGACCGACGAATCCATGCTGAGTTTGTTTGATGCGGACGGCGGATTTTTGGATGAGTTGACGGGAGGAGACACTGGGATCGGGGGTCCTGGAAATGGGATGGACTCTTCCATACTTGGCCCTAGTACAGGTATGGGGAGCATTCAACCTGATCCACTGCTCAACACTGGCTATGGTGCATCTCATTCTCAAATGCCTAACCTCTCAGGGAACCAATTTTCTGGCATGTCCTACCAAAGTTCCAGTGCACCACAACAACAGTTTTCTTCGGAGAATTTTGCTGCTCCCCAATATAATGAACAGCAAGGAATCAATCAGATGGCCAATGTGGCTATACCGGGTATGAATGGTGGACAAAGACAACCAAGAATGATGATGCCGAACCAGCAGATAACAACTCAACCTCCATTTGGAAGTTCGTCAGCTGGTAGAGGATTGATGCAACAACAACAGCAACAACCAGCTCCAGGTGGGTATCAATCCTATCGAATGAGCAGTGCACCGATGACGGGGCCTCGTCTTCCTAATCCCCACCAGCGGCAGATTGGGATCACTCAGAACATATCACAACAGACCAATAACATGTGGAACAGTAGTCAGACTAGTCCTAGTCAAGCCAATACCTTTTTCCATCAACAGAGACCAATGCAGTCTCAGCTTCAGCAGACCCCTCAACCTCAGCAACCGCAAATGGCACCGTCACAACTTGGTGACGGAACCCAAATGACAACTTACCTCACTCACCATGACTATGCCTTACCTAAATCCACTTCAAATATTGTTCCCCAAGTAAATGTTAGTCAATATCAGAACACTAGTGCAAACCAAGCGGGTGTGTACAATATGCAAAGGTTAGCCTCGCCGCCTGGTAATCATAATGTTATGTCTAATGTGCCATTGTCTGCCAGCAGTGCTTTGAATGCTATGACTCCAATGCAGCAACAGCAGCATCCTATCCCACAGGTACAGCCATCATTCCAGCAACCCGGCATCAGTTCAGCCAACAATGTGCGGCTTGCCTACACTGCTAGTACACCGATGCAGAATATGCCGCAACAGCAACCGTTCCAAGGAAATTACTTGCACCAGCGACCTCAAGTAAACCCTGTTGTTCCAACGTCGAACTATCAAAATTTTCCATTCCAACCGACACAGAATGCTATGTCACAAGGGATTGGAGACACGTCTAGTCGTCTTAGCCATTTCCAGAACACCAGCCCTAATCAGACTTCCACACTTATGCCTGGTTTTCCTACCAGTGTGAACTCACAACGTGTGACCACCCCATCCCCCAGACCAACCCCACCTCCCCGACCAACGCCTCCACCATCCCATACCCCAGATATCACACATACCTCCCCTACTTCTCAGGGAAATGCAAGACAGTTACATCAATCTCAGATGGATCTAATGTCCCCTCCCTCTGGAGGTCAGACCACGCCTACTGCCAGTCCTTACCACAGCAGTGATGGTAGTAACTCCTCAATGAACCAAACACCTATCAAGTCTAATACATATGCTCCAGGGGGGAACAGTCAGCCCTCTGTAAGCATGAGGATGAGTGTTAACACCAATGTCCCAAATAGAACTCTAGGTGTGGCCCCAGCGAGTCCAAACATGAAGGCTCTCGGTCAGGGTATGGTCCCGCCAACTGTGAACTTGGGTGGTCAGCCTGCTGTTGAGGTAGGCGGGCCATCTGCTGTAACTAATATGAATATGAGTGGTCAACAAACTGTGAATATGAATGGACAAAATAGCATGAATATGGAAATTCAAAATCTTCAGAAGCAGATTCAGCAACTGCATAGCATGCCACAGACCAATCAAACCCAACAAGGTATGCTGGATTTACAGGAACGAATTAGAACGCTGCGTGCTAAACAAGAATTAACACACCAAAGACAGAAGCAAATGCAGCAGATGCAGCAACATATTCCAAATTCAAATATGGTTTCACAGCAACAGCCAATTCAGCAACAGCATAATCAACAACAGCTTGTGTTTCAAATTCCCAATCTGCAACAGCAGCAGCAACAACAGGACAATCAGCAGAAAGTGATCCATCTTCAGTCAACTGTGGGTGGAAGTGCCGGTACGGGGGCAAGACAATCATTCATTCAAATCCAACGACCAAACATGCCCAACCAACCTCAGAATCAACAACAGAAGATTGTAATCGTGAGTTCTCAGCCAGGGAGCACCATGAGTATGCTCCAACAACGCCCTCACATAACCCAGCCACAAGGCCAGCAGGCCGGGCAGATGGACCCGTCACAGGGTCAGTTCAACCAGGTGATGTCCCAACCAGCACAGCAGAATCTACAGGTGGTCATACAGGTGAGTCTATATCTTGTTTGTTGTTTACGAGTGCTCAGTTCTTCTTTCTTGTCAAAGGTGGCCAAAAATTTGGCCCCATTCCATAGTGGTTTTTTTCAAGATTTAGTTCAAGAGCTCAAATTTGAAATTATAAAAAAATATTAATTTACTTTTTATGATGTGTAAAACACGTAAGTTTATGTAAATAAGTTTTGGTAAGCAAAGGATAATAGTCTTTGAAATGCTATTTATACAGAAATATTTTTTCAAAAATGCTAATTTAAATGCACAGCATGCAATCTTCCCCAATCTAAATCCCCTAGTGCTATTTAAAAAAAAATCTGTTTGAGCTTAAGACTAGCACAGACCGAGTACTTTTTCAAGTGTGTAAAACTGGGTACTACTGACCCTTGGAATAGGTCATTTTAACATAGAAATGTTTGCCACCAGATCAGATTTTCCATAGATCTGTTCCCATCTAAAAACTGACTTCAGCCATATTGGGTGTTAAAGTTTGCTGACATTTCGCATTAAGCTCCTAAAATTCATTTGATATAAATTGTAGATTTGTTTGTTTCTTTTAAGAGCAATGGGGGCCATAGTTCCCCTTATTTCAATTTCAGAATGCATGAACCATATACTAAATTACTCAGTTTTTTATGATACTGTAAAAATGCCCATTTTTTTTTTAATTTGATGTATTTAAAATTCGAAATTTCATTCCGGTCCATCTTGTTTTAAAAAATTCCAGTGGTGTATTTGAAATAACTAGAAATATAGAGTTTATATTGTGTTGTGAAAATTGTACTTTAAAAACTTTGCTTTCAGAGATTTTTAGTTAATGTACCATAAACGGTATATTGCATACATTTGGTAATACCGTTTATTCTAAGGGAAGCTAGGGTACCCTTTTTTATCCCATTTGTCTCCTCCTGTCCGTTGCACTCCGTGTACACAGGCAGATTTTCCAAAATTCTACCAGTGCAAACTATGTTTTTAAAGCATTATTTAAATGAAAGTTTTGACTAGCCCTGTCATAAAATCTACTGGAAATAGATCAGGATGTGTGGCTAGTGGAATTATAAATCCTTGATTCCATAATCTTAGCTAGTTCTCCATACATCCTATACAAATGAAATACCATGCTTTTTGGTTTCCATGGTCTAAAACATGACGTTATAATCACCTTTTGAATGGATAGGTCATGTGTAATTAATGATAGAAAGGTAGAAACAAAAACTGAAAACCATTGTTTTCAAACATACTCTTGAAAGTATGGGAGAGAAGAATTGCTACAGATAGTTATATATATTTTAGGGTATGCCAGAGAAATGTCAACCTGCAGGATGAGATTCTTGAATGTTTTAAACCTTGGCTTAAAGCAAGCCTTGTGTTAGATAATCAGGAATATCACCCCTACGGTTGGGTTTCTCTATCATAACTTTATGGTAGGGGAAGATTCTTTCCAAACTTTGTCATTTTTCTTTCCGAAGTCCTTTTCGTGTATCTGGTTCAACCGTTTCAACCAGCTGAACCTGAAAAGAAAATAACAGGCTCAGATTTAAACTGAGACTGGCCCCTGGAATATTTGGCATGTGCAAATCGAGTCTGGACATGCCTGACAAAATCTAAAATGCTGACTATTGCTAGTTTGCATTATTTCTGCAAAAAAAGGTTGATTCACATGTATATTTCAGGAAATGTTATAAAATTTAGTTTACATGTAAAATGGTATTATATTCTTGATACCTTATTTATTTTTCACAAAACTCTGAAACTGCATTGTTAGCTCTGCTGATAAGTTCAGCACAGAACATATCCCCCCTATGGGACTACAGTGTTAAGCCTCGGAACATATCCCCCTATTGGACTACATACAGTGTTAGGTGTAAAGATACAGCAAGATAGATGTCAAAGTTCCTGGCTTCGGACCATATCCCCCCTATGGGACTACAGTGTTAGGCCTCTGACCATATCCCCCCTATGGGACTACAGTGTTAGGCCTCGGACCATATTCCCCATATGGGACTACAGTGTTAGGCCTCGGAACATATCCCCCCCTATGGGACTACAGTGTTAGGTGTAAAGATTCAGCGAGATAGATGTCTTAATGTTCCTGGCCTCGGAACATATCCCCCTTGAGTTCCTGTTCTTAGACCATATCCCCCTATTGGACTACAGTGTTAGGTGTAAAGATACAGCGAGGTAGATGTCTTTAAGTTCCTGGCCTCGGAACATATCCCCTCTATGGGACTACAGTGTTAGGCCTCGGACTATATCCCCCCTATGGGACTACAGTGGTAGGTGTAAAGATACAGCAAGATAGATGTCTTATGTTCCTGGCCTTGAACCATATCACCCTATTGGACTACAGTGTTAGGTGTAAAGATTCAGCAAGATAGATGTCTTAAAGTTCCTGGCCTCGGAACATATCCCCCTTGAGTTCCTGGTCTTAGACCATATCCCCCTATTGGACTACAGTGTTAGGTGTAAAGATACAGCGAGATAGATGTCTTAAAGTTTCTGGCCTCTGACCATATCCCCCTATTGGACTACAGTGTTAGGTGTAAAGATACAGCGAGATAGATGTCTTTGAGTTCCTGGCCTCGGACCATATCCCCCTATTGGACTATAGTGTTAGGTGTATAGACTATAGATGGTAAGAGACAGATGTCTTTGAGTTCCTGGTTCTGAACATATCCCCCTATATGACAAGTCTTTGCAAGGTTATAGATGTTGAATCCCTGGTCTTGCACGTATCCGTCTATAAAGATGGGACTAAGACGTATGGAAGCGACAGATCAATCGTTAAAAATGTGTAAACAGGTTGATTGTCGGAGAGCTGTATTGAGCTTGACACTGTAGTGGAGAGAAAGGCCACAGTACAGCTGCCAGCTGAGTTACACGGGAGTGAGAGGACACACTTGTATTGGTAGATCTGTGCTGGTAGAATATTGATTAAACTGACCAATAATCTACCTACACCAACATACACGGACCGCTGACCTGAAATAATCTCTCACCATTCACCACTGTCTAGCGAAAAAAAATAACTTCATTGTCACTGATCCAGCTTATTGAGTCCTATCTGGTGAGGGTAAGGCCTGACAAGGGCCAGTTTAATTTGTGACAGAGAAAATTGGTTTCGCTATCATCCTCTTCTATCCTTCAATCTAAAAGGTTCATACCGCAATGTCTGTCACATGATTGTTCATTGAGATGTCTGTCAAGAAACATAGACTTGCAAATGATGTAAAATTGTTTCAAGGCCATTCTTGTTACTAAGGTCACTTTTTCTAAGAACTTCTGTTAGGAATCTAACCTAGAACTTCAGATTACTGGGCCAGTTCTCTACTGGTGGAGCTAAGAGGAAATTCACTGAGGTAGAGTCAGTAACAATCAGCTACATGGTTCAGCCCTGTAACATACTCTCCCTCCATGAAAAGACATTCTTGAGTCTCTTGGAGTATATCTCTGCATGTTGCAGTGTGGTTCAGGTTATCGTATACAGTGCCATCGTCCTTAAGTATCAATGTATATTTCCGAGGTCATATTTTCGAGGTTTTTCCTCAAGGAGTCAAAAATCTAGGAAAATAGATTACTGATCCAGTGCCCTTTAGATTGAGTTAGGAAGAAACCTGTATAGTTGAATCTGTATCATACAACTCAATGAGTCACCACTCTGACATACAGCACATACATGTCGTGATCAGATGTCATTCTTTCCTGTTGACTTTTTCAGCATTTTATGCTGTTGAATGCATAAGATATATTTTTTACATTTTGTTCCTGTCATCTTTAATTTGATGGGTCAATCAAACGTTTATACAAAATAATCCAATTTCAATACAGTTGTAAAAAAGTATACTTATTTTCACACAAAAAACTCCTATTTATTTTTGCTTAGTATTATAGGGTATATATGTATGCTACTAAAATGATAGCAACTTTAAATGGAGCCTTGCTTTTATAGCTTTTATACTAGTAGTAAAATTAGTTCTCTTTCTAGCAAAAATATGATTATATACCTGTTACACAACTTAATAAACACACTATATACCCAAGTAGTATTCACTGAAAGGTAAATATTCTTTGTATGACCAACTGTTGTTGTCACATGATCAATTCAGTCATGTGACTTTCAGTGAATACTGTTTAGTTGATATGAAGACCAAAATGGTTTGGTTGAAAAACACCACTGGGTATAGAGGTATAATATCGTTTTCTCTTACTACAAAGGTGTACAAGTATTTACATCTAGTCGTAGTTTTGTGTGGTATGTGCATAATTATATAATCACAGAGTAACAAACTATGAAATGAGGGTCATCACCAGTCAGAATGCAGGTAATGCCTGCTTATTGCAGACCATTATACTGTGTAAACTGTGGCATATAGTTTAGTATGTCTTTTCTAAGGAGTATTTTAAAACATTGTATTAGAAGCCTTAAAAGGTTTACTTTGAAACTTGCCCAACAGGTTTGCAGACTTGCAGTTTTTATGGTTTAGCTATAGTGGTATAATGGTTTAGGAAATGGATTAACACATATTGATCACTTTATGATAAACACAAGAATGCCTTGATTTGAGTTTAAGAGTTCCAATTTCAAAACCAAGGGCACTTATACTGTTTTTAGAAATTGTAAACCAACACAGTGTTAAATTTGATCAGACTTAAAACAAAAACACCTTCATATTTCTGGAAGAAAAGGTCAAGGTCACCATTACTATTCATAAAGAATTTCCCAAAAAATTACACTTATTTGCATGGGAGAACCAACTAGACATATTTTTGGCCCCCCACCCCCACCCCCAGCCCAGCCCAGCCCACAGCAGTAACACTTTGTACTTTCAGTATTGTTCTCAGCAGATATGCGTAATAATACTGTCAGGTGTTCAAGTTTTAAACTTAGATCAATAATTAATGCAAATTTAAATACAGAGAATTTACTATTGAACTGACTCCATTATTCAAATCCATTTAATGATTTATACCAGCAGTCTGTGGAAGATTATATAGGTAAGGGAGTTCATCCACCTAAAATGCGATATAATGTACCCATCAATGTTTAATGCTCGACTCCACATTAAATCTTGGCTGGTTTGGTTCTAAAGTGATGGACCAATTTCAACGAAACTTTCCACATATGATAACTACCACCTGAAGTTGTGCATCCAGGTATTATCTTTTCATTCTGACCCTTTTTAACGAAGTTATGGCCCTTCTTTAAAAAATCCTGAAACTTTTTGTCAGGACAACTCCTTCTAAAAGTTATGGATTGATTTCAACAAAACTTTCCAGATATGATAATTACTACCTGAAGTTGTGCATCCAAGTATTATTCTTTTCGTTCTGACCCTTTTTACCCAGTCATTGCCCTTTGTTGTAAAAGACTTTCCCACAGAACTTCTCCAAAACTACTGAACCAATATCCCTGAAAGTTTTCAGATATGATAATTACCACCTGATGTTGTGCATCCAGGTATTATTTTTTTCAATCTGACCCTTTTTTTTATTGAGTTATGTCCCTATGTTGAAAAATACTTCTCCATACATCTCCTCCGACACTATGGTCCCAATTTCAACAGAATATATCAGATATGATAGCTACCACCTAAAGTTGTGCATCCAGGTATTTTTTTCCAACCCTTTTTATGGAGTTATGGCCCTTTGTTGAAAAATCCTTGTCCTGACAACTTCTCTCCTTATCTACTGGGCCAATTTCAATGAAAGTTTACAGATATGGCAACTGCCCCTTGACGTTGTGCATCCAAGCAGTATCTTTTCATTTCAACCCTTTTTAAGGAGTTAGGTCCCTTTGTTTAAAATCTTTATGCTGACCACTCTTCCTTTACTACCAGGACGATTTTAAAATTGTCCATCTGTGCTAACAACATTTCGTTTGCAAGTATGTTTTGGCATTGAGAGGGAGTATAGGAAGTATGTCAGTGACCTGTATACTTAAATAAGTGTACAGCTCAGTCAATAAAGACACCATTACTGGTGGGAGACTATATTGCTTTGCAATGCTTTGCCTTAGTAAGCCTTTAGCTTACAGTTCTGGTTTATATAGGAGGGGGGATTTAGTTAGCCATTGGCTTACAGTTCTAGTTTTATCTTGTAACATGGGACAGCAGTGCTGTACATTTTGCTTATGACAATGTGGAATCTAATTGTATCCTGTAACTACTATGTTTGTCTTATTACAGAATTTTGACTTGGACATAACTTAAACAATTTAGGTTTTATTATTATCAGTCACAGGTCAAGGTCACTGTACTAAGAATTAGGACTTCAATAAAACATGGCTGCCAGATCTGTGGCCCTCATATTGTTTTTTTTTTATAGATTTTCTTAAAACTAAAAACTTCACTGACATGCATGTTTGTCTTGGATGTACTTTTGACAAGTTTTATTATGGCCATCATTGATCAAGGTCACCATTACATTTTTTTTTGTTTTTTTAAAGAAAATGGTTTGTGATCATTATTTCTTGACAGATTTTCATTAACCGCAATAGACATGGTTGCCTACGACATGCCATTGACAAGTTTGATTATTAGTCATCATCGGGTTAAATCAGTGTTACTAAAAATAGAATGTCACAAGTAGGCATTTTAAACAAATATTACTACATTCTGTTCAAAGTCAATGTCATTATTACTAAAGTATAATTTAGTTGAAAATGGTTTGTCCATGGGTAAAACAGGGGAGCTGGGGTTATTGTGAACCTTACTTACTTTTTCTTTGTTTGAACCTTAAAGCCTTGGCTGTCAGCAGCCTGTAACTGTAATGATTGTGTTATATATTACAGCAGTAGTCTTGTGTTATTACAGCAGTGATAACGTGTAACATACAGCAACAGTCTATTACAGCAGCATTAATGATTGCATTTTGTCTTCCAGCCCCAGCAGCAGTCAGTATTACAACAGCAAGGCCCAGTTATGATGAGTCCCCCTCAAGTGCCTACTTCATCGTCTAACATACCTCAACAGCCCTCGCAGGCCAACATTGCTGCTATGTCGGGTCCTCTAATGCGTCAGGCCGTGGCCACCTCGGTCCAGCAGGTGCCAGCCCAAAATATGCCTTCCAATATGCCAGTGCTACAGATACAACAGCTTGGTCAGTCTCAGCCACAGGCCAACTCTCAAGTACCCCTGGTGGCCTTCCAACCGATGGACCAATCGGAGCATATGGACACCAGTCAGTTGCTTGGTTCAGTCACACCAGGTACGACTGGAAGCAAGAAGTCTAAGAAAGCTAAGCAACAACAGGAAAAGGCCAACAGGATCGTGGCAGAGGCTGTAGCCCGGGCTCAGGCTGCTGGGAATACTGGATTACCTCCCCTGTTAACCCAGAACACAGCCATTCCCTCCACTGTGGGGGATGTGACAACACCGGAAATCAGGGACGAGGATTATGATGAAGAGGGAGGCAAGAAAAAGAAGAAAACAAAGCGAAAGAAGAAACCATCTGAACCTAAGACTCCAAAGACACCTAAAGCGAAGAAATCTAAAACTCCTCCAGCTGCTGCAGCAGCAGGGGATCCTTCTGAAAAGGTAGACAACGAGAATACGGACACAAGTGGGGATCTTATTGTGGACATTGAGGACACTACGCCAGTAACCCCGGAAAAGAAGAAAGCAGTTAAAAAACCCAAGTCAGAGTCCAAACCAAAGTCATCTGTGAAAAAGAAAAAGATGTAAGTACAACAATGACCGAGTATAGATTTTGTTCAGGATGACATGTTAGTGAACCGGAAAATAATATGATTCAAACAAATAGTTCAAGTTAATAATATTTAGAATAAAAGTGAAGTTTATTGTTTAAAAGCATTATTATCATGTAAATTATAAAAACAGCCTAATGAAATAAGTAGAAATGGCAATTAATACTTTCAGTTTAGTTAATCAAATTGACTGCATAGACAATGAAATATGTAAAAACAATATAAGCGTTTCCTTGGGCTCAATTTGTCATTTTTTCTCATTATTTTCACTGAAAAACTTTCAATCAGAAACATTATTTATCCATCAATGTTGTCAAATATCAGAAGAAACCGTCCTTATATATACCTATGATTTCTTCCATAGAAACCGTCCTTATATATACCTATGATTTCCTCTGTAGAAACCGTCCTTATATATACCTATGATTTCTTCTGTAGAAACTGTCCATGTATATATACCTATGATTTCCTCTGTAGAAACCGTCCATATATATACCTATGATTTCCTCTGTAGAAACTGTCCTTATATATACCTATGATTTCCTCTGTAGAAACCGTCCTTATATATACCTATAATTTCCTCTGTAGAAACTGTCCTTATATATAACTATGATTTCTTCTGTAGAAACCGTCCTTATATATACCTATGATTTCTTATGTAGAAACCGTCCAGGTATATACCTATGATTTCCTCTGTAGAAACCGACCTTATATATACCTATGATTTCCTCTGTAGAAACCTTCCTTATATATACCTATAATTTCCTCTGTAGAAACTGTCCTTATAGATAACTATGATTTCTTCTGTAGAAACCGTCCTTATATATTCCTATGATTTCTTCTGTAGAAACCGTCCTTATATATACCTATAATTTCCTCTGTACAAACTGTCCTTATATATAACTATGATTTCTTCTGTAGAAACCGTCCTTATATATACCTATGCTTTCCTCTGTAGAAACCGTCCATATATATACCTATGATTTCCTCTGTAGAAACCGTCCTTATATATACCTATGATTTCTTCTGTAGAAACCGTCCAGGTATATACCTATGATTTCCTCTGTAGAAACCGTCCATATATATACCTATGATTTCCTCTGTAGAAATTGTCTTTATATATAACTATGATTTCCTCTGTAGAAACCGTCCTTATATATACCTATGATTTCCGCTGTAGAAACCGTCCATATATATACCTATGATTTCCTCGGTAGAAATTGTCTTTATATATAACTATGATTTCCTCTGTAGAAACCGTCCTTATATATAGCTATGATTTCCTCTGTAGAAACCGTCCATATATATACCTATGATTTCCTCTGTAGAAATCGTCTTTATATATACCTATAATTTCCTCTGTAGAAATCGTCTTTATATATACCTATGATTTCTTCTGTAGAAACCGTCCTTATATATAACTATGATTTCTTCTGTAGAAACCGCCTTTATATATAACTATGATTTCTTCTGTAGAAGCCGTCCTTATATATAACTATGATTTCTTCTGTAGAAACCGTCCTTATATTTACCTATGATTTCCTCTGTAGAAAATGTCCTTATATATAACTATGATTTCTTCTGTAGAAACCGTCCTTATATATATTCCTCTGTAGAAACCGTCCTTACATATTTTCCTCTGTAGAAACCGTCTTTATATATAACTATGATTTCCTTTGCTTTCATTTGATGCATCAACAGATGATACCAATAGACCATTCATAGCAAATATTATAATTCTTGCCACGATCGATTTCCTAATGTAGTTACTATTATAATGGTGTGATGTTTTTGGGTCGTTGTAGGTAGCTAGCTATGCTAATGAGCAGAAAGCTTAAGCTGACATGTGTAAGGTGATTTATAGTTGAGGGAAGTTTACTCTGACTTGTCACACTTGGGCAGGCTTTGGGGCATTGGAGCATAAAACCGCTGACATTAATGGGATATACTTGGACCTCTAGGCCAGAAGTAGATAAATTTCACAATCAACTGTTCTAAACTTAGGCATATATGAATATTTTGAAACGTAGAAAACCTCAAAGGGAACTATTTTTAGCTCAAATCTGAGCATTCATGATTGTCCGCCATGTGTTTGTTTTTAACTTTATATGCTTCTGACAGTACAGTTTTCCTAATGTTGATAGAACATTGCACACAACTCAAATCTATGTGATTGATGAAGATCCCTGAAAAGGGCTAAAAGGGGTATTATCTCAACTTTTAAGGAAGTTTTCTTCTAAGTTCAATTGTTGTGAGAGCTTTCGTTTATTTTGTCGGGCTCAAGTTTATGATTTAAATTTTGTTGAAATGAGGACCATGACATTGTAGCGATAAAAAAGGGTCATGCACAGAGGTCAAAGTTCAAGACAGGTAATAGCAGGTACTATGTCGATTTAAGCATAAATATTTTATGTCATTATATATTAGATGTCATGGACATTTTTTATAGCCTTTGAAATGGCTGCTTTATTTCTTTTGGTTTTTGTGAGCATTACAAAAACCTTGACTTAATCCTATATCTATTCCGATCAGATATATATATATGTAACCTGTCATAATGTTCTTGATACTAATAGCCTCTTAGGGATCTCAAACAGACACAACACTTGATAGATTATGAAGATCTCAAGATGATAGGGAAACTTGATAATATTTCCGGATAATATTCAGCATAAATCAGAACCTTGCAAGCACTCGACTTGCATTAACGAGCGCAAAAATCGCCCTTTATGTAAACAAAGTAGCAGCCCCCATGCAGAAGACAACTCGCCTTAAATCTTTGCTATTCACATTAACTTCAACATGCATTCCCATGATTATCTGCGAGTCTCATCATATTATACTTACACAACCATATACATCTTAATAATGATTTAACATGTTATTTCTAACTGAAGAAATACACTTTTGTGATGTCTCAAGTAACACGGACCAGATACACATTCACATGTAAACACAACTTCCGTAACTAATTTCTGACATTACAATTAGTATTTTATAATGTATATGTATTTTCACATCACGTTTCAGACCACCAGCAACCTTTATGAAGCTGAAGAAAAGAAAAAGAGGTGCATCATCTGATGGCTCTGATGTGGAGATAAAGATAACACCACCTCCTTCACCCGTAGGGGATGAAGAAGGACTACAGGTAGAAGACTGTTTCTTTTTACTGGGAGGCATTTCATTTTCTCTCTGTTTAAAGAATCTATAAATTTATTGATTGCAATTTTTTGTTTTAATCTTTCCGCGAAACATGATATTTTTTTTATCTTGTGTTGTATATAACTTTTAAGTTTTTGAAGATCCGACCCGACATTAACCAAGCATCTAGAGGTTTCCTTAGGTTTGAGATTTTCCATTTATTTAGCTTTGTTTGAGATTTTCCTCAACTTTAAGATGTTTTAAGTGGGGTCTAGCTGTCGAGGTCAAGGTGATGTTTTAAGTGGGGTCCAGCTCTCGAGGTCAAGGTAATGTTTTAAGTGGGATCTAGGTCTCGAGGTCAAGGTTATGTTTTAAGTAGGGTCTAGCTCTCGAGGTCAGTGTGATGTTTTAAGTGGGGTCTAGGTCTCGAGGTCAGTGTGATGTTTCCAGTGGGGTCTAGGTCTCGCGGTCAAGGTGATGTTTTAAGTGGGGTCTAGGTCTCGAGGTCAAGGTAATGTTTTAAGTAGGGTCTAGCTCTCGAGGTCAATGTGATGTTTTAAGTGGGGTCTAGGTCTCGAGGTCAAGGTGATGTTTTAAGTGGGGTCCAGGTCTCAAGGTCAAGGTGATGTTTTAAGAGGGGTCTAGGTCTCGAGGTCAAGGTGATGTTTTAAGTGGGATCTAGGTCTCGAGGTCAAGGTGATGTTTTAAGTGGGATCTAGGTCTCGAGGTCAAGGTGATGTTTTAAGTAGGGTCCAGCTCTCGAGGTCAAGGTAATGTTTTAAGTGGGATCTAGGTCTCGAGGTCAAGGTGATGTTTTAAGTAGGGTCCAGGTCTCGAGGTCAAGGTAATGGTTTAAGTGGGATCTAGGTCTTGAGGTCAATGTAATGTTTTAAGTGGGATCTAGGTCTCGAGGTCAAGGTGATGTTTTAAGTGGGGTCTAGGTCTTGAGGTCAAGGTAATGTTTTAAGTGGGGTCTAGGTCTCGAGGTCAAGGTAATAATTGAAGGCAACATTATAGACAACTTGATTACTATTTAACTATTGAAGATAAGTTAGTAAAACGATGACACTTAACGAACCTGGAACATGTATACCTGTGTTTCTATAGAAACGTCGATCGGCCAGAAATACCAAGAGGAAGAAGTACATGGATGATGTTGATCTGAACTTGTCTGAGGATGATAACTTAGATATTGATGTAGAAGGGACAGACATAATGAAAGCTCTGGAAGTCAACTCGGTAAGTCAGCTACTCTCAACCATATCACTAATTCAATATTTTAGGAAAACTTTAATTTATTGTACAACTGAGAAAGTCGTGATCAGCTCTTGGCAATATCATTAATCAATTAATTCAGGAAGTTTTTAAATTTTTACATACATTTTTGAAACGCTTTTAATTCTCCTTTACAGTATGTTGTATACTTGCATAGAAATTAAAATAATTGTTTCCTTTTCATATCAAATTCCTTATTCCATTATTTCAACTTTAGAATATCAATATATAATTCACAAACTTGGTTTGTTAACAGGAGAATGCTGTTGAGGAAGACAATAATATTGTGGTGGAAAAGATTCTGGGCATGAGGATGAGAATTAGTGATAAAGATGTAAGTAGTATCTCTAACTTTTATCACCCTCCCCCCTCACCATTCTTTACAAAGGTCAAGTAAGTAAATTTCAGGGGCCAGAGGTCAATGCCAAGGTCACTTGCTATTGGTTATGTCTTGCACACATTCTCTTGCTAGGTATATGACGCCAACATCATAACAGCCTCCCAATAGTTTTCTTGAATACATATTTTCAGAAACGTTTCATAATTATCATAAATTTGAAATTGAAACTCCTCATATTTGTTATACATTGTTGACTAAACCACTTTCGTTCTCCGTTTTAAAGTAAGGAGGCTGGATAGTTAACTAGCTGAATAACAGGGTTGAATTTGTATAGAAACCAAGAATTGTTCTAAAAACTGAATTAGCAGAACAGCTGGACTAGTGACTGGACTGACTGGGCTACAATGTATGTGTAAACAGGAAAAGGTATATAACTAAGACAGTCATACAGACCTGTACAGTGACTGTGGGCAGTTAGAGGTGATAGTGTATTCAGCGAGTCCATCAATCGCTCCTGAAGTTAGTTTGAACAGTTCTATGAATATGTGTACCTATAATGGTCAATAAGTGTAGGAAAGCTATTCAAATATTAAAGAAGAGTATTATATGTGAATAATTAATGAGTTACTGACTCATTTCTCTTTAGCTCCGGTTGTTTTATAGATTATAAGTTCTTAACATGTACCAGTTTTTACCACATTCTGTGGCTGAACGTAAAAAAGCCATTATCATCATAAAACCTTTATCAATGATAACACAGGTTGACGTGGAGAATGAAGATGAACCCCCAGAGGAGGATGCCGAGGAGTTTTATGTCAAATACAAGAACTTGTAAGTTGATGGTGCAGTTAGCAATAATAAGTCTTCGCTTAATGTAGGTTTACCAACTCACTGACCCATTAGTGTGAGCCAAGCAGATGGTTACCAAGACTACTGCCTCATTGTGTTTGAGCTTAATAAACTTAATTTTACCACCGTTTATAAAAGCTAGTTTTCTTAACTTATAATGAGGGCATTCACATTTAATATGCAGATACCTAACTTGTTGAACTGGATTGTCAGAGTAAAATGTCTTGTTCAGGGACAGCCACTGTGTTACTAATTAGTGTGAGGACATGAATTCTGTGAATGGATATCAGTTCATGGATTAAAACTTAACCTATTTTGCAAGTTTGGAGGAAATACTGAGATTACTGGTTTATCGTTTCAGTTCTTACCTGCATTGTGAGTGGAAGACTGAAATGGAGATGTACAGAGATAAAAGGATCAATCAGAAGATTAAACGCTACAAGATGAAGAAACTGCAGTCCAACAACTACTTCACCGAGGTAAATTACTGCCTATATAAGGAAATGACAGTTTGTCAATTAAATGTGGTAGTATTTAAAAGAGTGCTATTCATTTTCATCTATATTTGTAGCTTGAGATCTGTACTTTTGATGTTTATGTAAATTTTGACTTTCAAATAAAAGATCGGCTTCAATTGACATTTAAATGCTGGAAATCTTTGTTTTGTTGGATCAATATTTTTATCACCTTTATAATTAGGTGCTGACAAAGTTAAGCAATGCAAAAACATAGTGGGTTTGGGATGTAAATATTGCCAACCATTTACTTGTACAACAGGTTGATAAAACTATATACGGCAACTGTTGTATGTTCAGCCCCCATGTTATTTTGATCCTTAAACAAGGTGGTCAAGTTCAACACAGGGGGAGTGCTTGTTGGTGTTGAGATGACATTTCTACTAAATTTATATGAACTCCTGGCTATTATCCCATTCAGATTGACGATGAAGAACTCTTCAATCCTGACTATGTGGAGGTAGATAGGGTACTGGATACCTCCATAACGACAGACCCAGCCACAGATGAAGAGACAACTCATTTCCTGGTCAAATGGAGAGGACTAGCATACGAGGATGCCACTTGGGAACTGCAGCAAGATGTTGACCCGGAGAAAGTGAAATTTTACAACCTGTACAAGGAACCCCCAGATGAAGACGAAAGAGAAGTGGGTGTTGATTTAACTAAAGATAAATAAAACAGTCTAAAGGAATACGTGCCAGTGGCATTAAGTGTTAAAAAAATTGTTGATTTAGAGTCGCAACCTAGAAGATCATAGTTACATGCAAGTTCAGCTGTCTTGATTCAGCATTATTTAAGATTTCATACAATTTCAATACTGGTGTAAACAGGTCTGACATAAAGGCCTTTTGTATGTGAAGCATTTAAAGAGGATATTTTGGGAGAAAAACAGTATTATATTATTCTGATGATTTACCATATGCTATTTGAAAGTATTTAACTAGTATGAATTTGTTTTTAGCCTGTCGAGCGCCCGAAAGCCGATGAATGGAAGAAGAGAGACAAGACTCGTGTTTACAAGGGAGGTAATACAGTGCGGGATTACCAGTTGGAGGGTGTTAACTGGCTTACGTTTGGCTGGCACAATGAGTAGGTTACCTTTACATATTTGGAAACTAATTTCATCCTAAAAATAGTAAGGAATTACATCCTTAAAAAAGTAAAGAATATTTCATTTTAATTGTTAACAATTTTGTGGAAAGTCCACTATTTTGACTATCAAAGACTCGACACGTTTGAGATATAAATTGATGAGTTCTGTAAAGATTAAGCTGCATTAGATACAATAATTGATATAATTATGGAGATACATTTTTGAGAACTTGTCAAACTGTTTACTGTTGTAATTTTGTGATAATCTTCGCTCCTCAGACAAAATTGTATCCTGGCCGATGAGATGGGTCTTGGTAAGACTATCCAGAGTATAACCTTCCTTCACGAGATATTTCTCTCTGGCATTCAAGGCCCCTTCCTAGTCGTCGTTCCGTTATCCACTCTTGGCAACTGGCAGAGAGAGTTTGAAACATGGACTGATCAGAATGTAATAGTTTACCACGGAAGGTAGGTTTTACTGCTTTTTACTAATGTTTAAAGTTATTTGTCGAGACACGGTAATACAACTGATGTTAAGTTCCGGAAATTTCTCGTTTACCAGTGTTTAAGTTCCTTGGAAAATACTGTTATATTCAGTAAATAGATTTCCCCCCAAAATACCCTCATTCCTTAGTGTTAAAAGTCCTCAAACATACTGTTATATTCAAGAAAAGAAAGTTCCTTAAAGGGGTGGGTCGGGGGGAAAATGTCATATTTGCTAAAATGGCATATACATTTTAAAAATACCTTCTGAAATATACCGATTCAAATTTTGCTGAAATTCACTCCCTAAGAGTAAAAATTATAATTACATTAAAAAAATCCTAAATCGTCACCTGACAGTCTAAAACTCTCAATTGACCCAGATCAGTGATGTAATTTTACCGCACGCGCGTCATCAACAAGACCAAATGTAAACATTGCGGCGAAAGAAAAAGATGCATGCAAAAGTCATGACAGGCACGAGGTATCAATACCGTTAAATATAACAACAACATATAGGTAGGAATACTACATTTGCATCATACATGACCTTTGAAAACAATTATTTACGTATAGTATTGCTGTCTTGTCCGCTAGTTGAGTCCGACATGGCACATGACGGCGTGCTATTGTTGTTATCTTTTGACTTTTGAAACAACCACGTGACATATATAAATAGATCTGCGCTAAATTTACGCGGGGCTTCCCCGAGATTTCAGTGGTCAAAACTAGACATTGCAAGCAGAACTCGACCATCATATTGCCGTGGTATAACTTTTGGAAGGCCAGAAAATGCATTTAGACCCATTTATTTTGTAATTTTGTCCACCACCAGCCCCTTTAACGAATGCCTACATTAATTAGTATGAAGTCTAAAGGAGATAATTGATAGAACACATCATTGGTCAGTAAATGTTTATAGATGTCTGTCGCATTGACCATTTGTCAGCTAAAATGCCAAATGTATTATGTTAATTGAAAAAAAATTGGTGTCTGAGTGTAATTAGGAGTAGTTTTTAAGCCGCTCTTGGCGAGAGCCGAGCGGCTTATTAATTCTGTCCAGAGAACGCAATGACGGACCCACTTCCGTTACGGATGCATGCGCATAATTCAGTCTTGCATGCTTCCGCTATATAGTTTCGTTATCGTAAATAGAAAGTAGAATCTCTGACACTCACCTGTGGGTTACATAAAGTCTTCTGATACTCTTCTCCAAGTAATAATCTATACTTTTAATAATTGCTGAAAACAAAATGTTTATCTCCGGTGCATTCTACGAGTGTTGTGGTGGTGAAATTCGTGCACTACGTTTGAGCGTTTTAGCGTTTGTGAAACACATATGATTCGAGAAAGCACATGTGAAGACTGTCAAGCATCGACGCTGTCTGTAGAAGGAAGAAGTAAATATATGTATTTATAAACCGTATAAGTGATGAAGTATAACCTCTATTATGATGTTTCAAACGGGAACGTAATATGACATATAGTGCTTAGGTTGTTAACGGTAATGCTTCATGGCTCTGAGACGAGACGATATGTAAACTGTGTATGCTTATCAAACATTTCTGTAACACAGCATGCTATTTCTGGTGTATTTATTTATGAAAGTGTAACAATTTAAGAACATGACACAACTGCCGCTGCTGTTTGACAAGAATTCGCGCTGTGTCAAAATATTATCATATCCGGTGTAAGGGAAATAACTCTTACGTTAGTAATTAATATATAAAGTCGCATTGAGAAATATAATTCAAATGTATTCCAAGAACATTTTTGAGATTTTGTATATTCAATGACAGTAAATAAAGTCACTACATATATTAATAATTATTATTCATATGAATGAATAATAAATAAAAATAAAAAGAGTACAATGTCTCTTTTCTCCATGTATTTTTCCCCCATTCTGTTAATTCTTCATTTCACAATCACAAAATGCACCTATTCTTTATTATCCATTCACCGATTGGCATTCTGCACATAAATGCTCATGTCACATCATTGGAGGATGCTAGTTAATGAAAATTACAACAATGCGTCACACTGAAAGAGGGTGAAAAAAGAGGAGAGGGAGAAATGTTTTTAAGGCATCATTTAAGAGGTGATTGATTTTGGAAATCCCAAAGGCATCATCATCACATGACCTGATTTTCAATTAGCAGAATACAGAACACATATCTGAGGTATTATAGAAGATATTGATGCTCAACGTCTTACTGAAGCAATTCAATTTAAAGTGGTGAGCGGCTTAAATGTCAGACTGACATAATTCTAGTTTCTTTGTGTTTTAAGTGATGTTATAGTGTATTGATAAGGAGTTGTTTGTTGTGTTTTAAGTGATGTTATAGTGTATTGATAAGGAGTTTGTTGTGTTTTAAGTGATGTTATAGTGTATTGATAAGGAGTTTGTTGTGTTTTAAGTGATGTTATAGTGTATTGATAAGGAGTTTGTTGTGTTTTAAGTGATGTTATAGTGTATTGATAAGGAGTTTGTTGTGTTTTAAGTGATGTTATAGTGTATTGATAAGGAGTTTGTTGTGTTTTAAGTGATGTTATAGTGTATTGATAAGGAGTTGTTTGTTGTGTTTTGTAGTACCGTGAGCAGGAGCATGCTGCAGCAGTATGAAATGTTCTACCGTGATGGAAATGGCAAAAAAATCCCTGGTATCTACAAGTTCCATTCTCTCATCACCACGTACGAATGCATCATTTCTGACTGTGATGTCCTGAGCAGCATTGAATGGCGTTGTCTCATCATAGACGAGGCCCATCGGCTTAAGAACAAGAATTGTCGACTCATGGAGGGTCTCCGCATGATCGACTGCGTAAGGCCAACTATCTCTATTTATAGAACCTTTAGAAAGAAACATTTACTGGAAATAACTTATTAATGACACTCGTAACTGATACAGTCCGAAGAACGCATTGAACATGATGTTTTCTAGAAGGTACATAGAGTATTTACTTGTTGATACAAATTCTAATCCAAAACCAGAGGTGAGGATTATTGAAATTCTACAACTGACACTGTTTTCAAATGTTGTCCTTGAAAGTTATGATTGCTAGGTATGTTTACCATTTAGAATTGATGTTATACAGGACCACCGAGTACTGCTGACAGGAACACCTCTCCAGAACAATGTCGAGGAACTCTTCAGTCTCCTCAACTTCTTAGAACCAGAACGGTTTAGCTCCGTCAACAGTTTTATGGTAGACTTTGGTGATCTAAAGACAGATTCACAAGTAGACAAGCTGAAAGCGGTAAGATATCACAAGGATACACTTAATTATAGCTGTCGTAGAAATGAGGTGAATTTATGTCCCCAAGCATAGTGAAGGACACATTGAATGGTGGTGGTCTTTTCCATCAACTGTGTGTGGCATCTTGCTAAGACTAGAAGTCTCAACAGTCATTAAACTTCATACATGGATCCATCTTTCAAAATATTTTGCCTTCTGAAATGGTATTCACTTCCCTAAGTGTCTAACATTGTCATGTCTCTGCCTTTGTATGGAGGGGTGGGGGGATACAGTGTTGTTACCCTTGGGAGGTTGTAATACTACCCATGTCTGTCATGTCTCTGCCTTTGTATGGAGGGGTCGGGGATACAGTGTTGTTACCCTTGGGTGGTTGTAATGCTACCCATGTCTGTCATGTCTCTGCCTTTGTATGGAGGGGTGGGGGGATACAGTGTTGTTACCCTTCGGAGTTTGTAATGCCACCCATGTCTGTCACATCCTGCTTTATCATCTCATTGATCTAGCATCTTCATGCCATAACAGATTTTTGTCAAAACTTTTATACAAAGTCAGATAAGAGAATTCTTCAATTCATTTCCTTATTTAGGGTTCAAAGGTGAAGACCAAGGTTTGACACAAATTTGCAAACGAAGTAGAGACATTTTTGTCTTATTCCAGTTCAATTCTGAAAAAATCCAGTAGAAGATGAATCAGAACTTTTAGTCTTAGAAGTACTCTGTATATAGGCTTCCAGTGTTCAGAGCCTCCTTTGTATTTTTTTCCAGCTGCTGAAGCCAATGATGCTGCGTCGGTTGAAAGAGGATGTAGAAAAGAACCTGGCATCTAAAGAGGAGACTATTGTGGAGGTAACGTTGTCATCGGCATTCTTCAAAACTATTGTAAATGGTAAAATTGTGTCAGCTTAATGTTCACCATAAGTAGTCGGAGAGGATCTAAAATGAGGATGAAACACCTCTGAATAAACCTGTAAGGCAGAGGTCGAAGCTGCACATCAAATAATCAAAGATTTGAATTTGATTTAAGGAATGGTAGGCAGATCTGTATTTAATCCTTCCATCCAAATGAAATTAATACAATTGCATCCCACTTCCCTAGTAGGATTGTCTATAGAAATCAAAACATTTTAACACTAATCGAAAAAACATGTTAATGTATTTAATTAGTATTACAAGGTAATGAAGCAGTTGTAATGTATAGTAGTCTTGAAGTATTTGGACATTTTTTGAAATTTTGAATTTTAAAGGTGGAACTGACCAACATTCAGAAGAAGTACTACAGAGCGATCCTGGAGCGGAACTTCACTTTCTTATCCAAAGGAACCGGAAGCTCTACAAATGTACCCAACCTGCTCAACACCATGATGGAGCTCCGCAAATGTTGTAACCATCCTTTTCTTATCAAAGGTGATTATACTGTTATTTTTATATAAATTTAAATAAATCATATTTGTTAGGGGGAAATAGCGAAAAAAACAAATACATTTCGTTTTTTTCCAAACCAGCAATTGTTTTGGTCATTTCAACAAGATCTGTATAAGTTGTGTTACATCCTTTTGTTTGGTAATAATTGGAAATGGAAATAAAGATTCATTGAAAGTTAAAAAGACAAACAATGATATCCTGAGTTGAATAGATTATCAGTAACGATTTGTGTGTTTTCAATGCAAAATCTTACAGCGCCTATAGTTTTGTAATGTGTAAACTCTGGTAATTTAAATGTGATTTGAACTTTGATGTGATTTCTTGCATAGCAAATTTGAATAGCAGAATATTGCTATAAATGACTGATATACAAACAGGAATAATGAGTGTGATGTAAAATCCTTACAGGCTAATCATCAATCCCTTTTTATGAGAGACACATATTTTCAGTACATATAATCACAGTTTATATAATTTCATTTCACAAACCATCCTTCACACAAAAGTATGATAATATGATGTATGTTAACAATGTAACACGTAATACGTTCAAATTTTTAACAAATAATAGCAATTAAATGCTTGGTGAATTAAAGGTGCTGAGGAGAAGATATTGAATGAAATGAAGGAAAAACATGGTGCCACACAAGAGGCGGCATTCCTCTCCATGGTCAACTCGGCCGGTAAACTTGTCTTGTTGGACAAACTGCTGCCCAAACTGAAGCAGAACGGCCACAAAGTTCTCATCTTTTCTCAGATGATAAAAGTGCTAGATATCTTGGAAGACTACCTCATTCATAGACAGTAAGTACTACCACCACACAGTTGTTATATTGTCTGATACCTTTGATAGTCAGTACTACCACCACACAGTTGTCATATTGTCTGATACCCTTGATAGTCAGTACTATCACCACACAGTTGTTATATTGTCTGATACCCTTGATAGTCAGTACTACCACCACACTGTTATATTGTCTGAGACCCTTGATAGTCAGTACTACCACCACACTGTTATATTGTCTGATACCTTTGATAGTCAGTACTACCACCACACAGTTGTTATATTGTCCGATACCCTTGATAGTCAGTACTACCACCACACAGTTGTTATATTGTCTGATACCCTTGATAGTCAGTACTACCACCACACAGTTGTTATATTGTCTGATACCCTTGATAGTCAGTACTATCACCACACAGTTGTCATATTGTCCAAGACCCTTGATAGTCAGTTGATATTATACACAAGCTCATTATTAGTTGATCATTACTGTAAATAACTGCTGCAGATTGGCTACCTGTTTAAACTGATGGCTATATTCAAATCTGTTAAAACCTGATAGTTATATTCGAATTGGTTGAACCTGACAACACCTTTCATTTCTAGGTACCTGTATGAAAGGCTTGATGGAAGGATTCGGGGAAACATCCGTCAGGAGGCTATTGACCGCTTTTCCAAGCCTGAATCTGACCGGTTTGTTTTCCTCCTGTGTACCCGGGCAGGTGGACTGGGCATCAACTTGACAGCTGCCGACACTGTAGTCATCTATGATTCTGACTGGAATCCTCAGAATGATCTCCAGGTAAGGATGATAGGAAATTTTCTAATTCACTGATAGTAGATTTGTGTTTGTTGAAGTAAGATTAGAAATATAATGCGTTGATTACCTATCTTCTCTTGATTTCTACCAAAGGTCATATGGAAGGAAGACATTCTTAACTGGATCTAGTGATTTTTAATTGAAAAATTCAATTGTGTAAAACTTTTAACAGATGATTGAAATTTTAATTGTGTAAAACTTTTAAACAGATCATGAAAAAAATAATTTTGTATAACTTTTTAACAGATGATGTGACAAGTTCAGTTAAATGGTAGATAGCTGCATATTAAAAAATGAAATATATCTAAAACCAAGGAAATTGTATCATTGTGGAAAGGTATAATTTCTATTTAATGGTTTCTTTTCTGTCAGGCCCAGGCACGGTGCCACAGAATCGGACAGAGTAAAGCAGTGAAGGTGTATCGACTGATTACAAGAAACTCGTACGAACGTGAAATGTTTGATCGGGCTTCCATGAAGTTAGGTCTGGACAAAGCTGTGCTTCAGTCTATGGGCGGGGAAAAGAACTCTCCAGTAAGTGCACAGATATTTGAATTCAGGACAAAAAATATAAAGTTGTAAAATATATTATTATTGACTGCTCCAATGAATTACAACCACAACTTTTATTATGAGTTACCTCTTTATCAAAAGGAAGAGTAAATTTGAAAAGTAAAAAAGATTCGAAAAAGTTTCGCCAAAAGGAAGATGTACACTTTATGAGCTATTTAATTCCAGCAAGCCCAGATGTCCAAGAAGGAGATAGAGGAGCTGCTCAAGAAAGGTGCCTACGGAGCTTTGATGGAGGATGACACTGATGGTGATAAGTTCTGTGAGGAGGACATCGACCAGATCTTACAGCGCCGCACACAGGTCATACAGATAGAGTCCGAGGGCAAGGGATCCATATTTGCCAAGGTATGTTATAACAATAAAAAAAAAATCTGTCTTAGGATTTTTACAGAAACTACTGCCTAAGGAGCCTAAAGGTATCTCTCAAATTCACTTTATTTTATTCCCCATCTCATGATGGGAAATATCAGCCATTTCACCAAGGGCTACCTACACAGTATTTATCATTTGGAAGACTTGTAGACTTGAAGAAAATTTATGCAAAGGTAAAATATGTGTTATCCATATATGGTGAAAGGTTTCATTTTGCTTCCAAAATATATATTTAGGAAAAGAGGTGATTGGTATTAAAATGATTAACATCTCCCTATAGATGACCACAAGAATCAATATTAATATATCCTTTCTGTCTGTTTCTCAATGGTAATATTTATTCTGACATCAAAATTACATAAATACCGTTCAGTATAGATATTTCTCGCTTTTTCTCGCATGAACAATTTGTTTGCATTTGAAATGAAAGTTATATTGAATCAATTATGAACAGAATAAATGTGTTGTAGTGTACAGGTGGTATGACAAAGTAGTCCCCAGGGTTATCCACTCTACTTTGAGCTGTGCAATGCCTTCAATCCCGCAGCTACTTTGCACGGTGGCTACAATTTAAATTGTATAACACTGACATAAAACTGAATGCTCTCTATGTTTTATCCTTGGTATATACAGGCTAGTTTCTCCTGTGTGTTAGTTCTATGTTATAATTGTTTTATCCTTGGTATATACAGGCTAGTTTCTCCTGTGTGTTAGTTCTATGTTATAATTGTTTTATCCTTGGTAAATACAGGCTAGTTTCTCCTGTGTGTTAGTTCTATGTTATAATTGTTTTATCCTTGGTAAAACAGGCTAGTTTCTCCAGTGTGTTAGTTCTATGTTATAATTGTTTTATCCTTGGTAAATACAGGCTAGTTTCTCCATGACGTTAGTTCTATGTTATAATTGTTTTATCCTTGGTAAAACAGGCTAGTTTCTCCAGTGTGTTAGTTCTATGCTATAGTTGTTTTATCCTTGGTATATACAGGCTAGTTTCTCCTGTGTGTTAGTTCTATGTTATAATTGTTTTATCCTTGGTATATACAGGCTAGTTTCCCCTGTGTGTTAGTTCTATGTTATAATTGTTTTATCCTTGGTAAATATAGGCTAGTTTCCCCTGTTCGTTAGTTCTATGTTATAACTGTTTTATCCTTGGTATATACAGGCTAGCTTCTCCAGTGTGTTAGTTCTATGCTATAGTTGTTTTATCCTTGGTATATACAGGCTAGTTTCTCCTGTGTGTTAGTTCTATGTTATAATTGTTTTATCCTTGGTATATACAGGCTAGTTTCCCCTGTGTGTTAGTTCTATGTTATAATTGTTTTATCCTTGGTAAATATAGGCTAGTTTCCCCTGTTCGTTAGTTCTATGTTATAACTGTTTTATCCTTGGTATATACAGGCTAGCTTCTCCTGTGTGTTAGTTCTATGCTATAGTTGTTTTATCCTTGGTATATACAGGCTAGTTTCTCCTGTGTGTTAGTTCTATGTTATAATTGTTTTATCCTTGGTATATACAGGCTAGTTTCCCCTGTGTGTTAGTTCTATGTTATAATTGTTTTATCCTTGGTAAATATAGGCTAGTTTCCCCTGTTCGTTAGTTCTATGTTATAACTGTTTTATCCTTGGTATATACAGGCTAGCTTCTCCTGTGTGTTAGTTCTATGCTATAGTTGTTTTATCCTTGGTATATACAGGCTAGTTTCTCCTGTGTGTTAGTTCTATGTTATAATTGTTTTATCCTTGGTATATACAGGCTAGTTTCCCCTGTGTGTTAGTTCTATGTTATAATTGTTTTATCCTTGGTAAATATAGGCTAGTTTCCCCTGTTCGTTAGTTCTATGTTATAACTGTTTTATCCTTGGTATATACAGGCTAGCTTCTCCATGACGGGTAACAGAGAGGATATCGACATCAATGATCCAAACTTCTGGCAGAAATGGGCCAAAAAGGCTGACATTGACACGGATGAACTGAAAAACAAGGTATGAATGGTCCATAACACAATAATTATTACCTAGATTAACATCATTTTGTTTTATTCGCCGTATTTTGCTGTAGATTAAAGAGGTTCAATACGATTCCATTCACATTTTAGTGCAAGTACAGCTATTTTTTGTTGAATATCTATCCATTTTATAGCAAAAAAAAGCACCTTGCAATTTCTCTTTATTTTAAGAGTAGTGTAAATTGTGTCAAGTCTTTTCAAAAGATGAGCACTTTGTATTTGGTAATACATTGTTTGAAGAAATGTTTGAAGAAAGAAGATGTAATTGCAAAGGGTAAATATAACACTGACTTGTTTCATTGTGAGATTTTGAGGTAACAGTAAGTATGAGAGTGCAATGATAAAGTTTGTGTTTCTTTTTCAGAATGAATTGATCATTCAAGAACCCCGTCAGAGGAAGAAGACAGCCCGCTTCGGTAATGATGAATCCCTTCTTGACATGTCAGAACTGGAATCAAGCTCTAGCAACACAGATGAGGAAGATGATGGTGAAGATAAAGGTCTGTCTCGGGGCGGTCGTGGAGGGCGCAAGAGACGTCGTGGACGAAACAAGAACAAAGACGACGATGACTTTGACGTAGATGACTACAATGGTGAAGGGTACTCCCGATCAGAATGCTTTAAAGTGGAGAAGCATCTTCTGTTTTATGGGTATGTGCAATCTCATAACATTTCTTGCATTACTGAGGTTTCAGATTGGTGAAAAGACCCCTTGTAAACTTTGAAAGACTTTCATTAAGTCGTTTCTGGTCAGAATTAAACGAGGAATTGCTTGTTGATCAATGTTTCTGTTTCCGTGAAATATATACACAAATTTAAAGTGAGACTGTAGAAAGATAATAGTCTGTCGATTCTATTGGTAATTTGTAAGTTCATTGGTATGTAAATTTAGAAGAAAACTTCAGAAAAACTTTATTAGGATGTAAATTTAGAAGAAAGTTATTCACATTCTACTGATTTTGATAGAAAGTTCAGTTTTAAATACATATCTTAATGTCGGGTTATGATGCATTACAGATGGGGACGGTGGACAGACATCATTGGTCATGCCAAGTTCAAGAGGAAACTGACGGAGAAGGATGTAGAGAACATCTCCCGAGCACTGGTAGGTACTGGTACAAAACAATGGCTGATAAAGATTCTGATAGACACACTTTACCTTTTATACAACTAAGTCTAACACTGTTTAGAAGGATGTAGAGAACATCTCCTGGGCACTGGTAGGTACTGGTACAATGGCTGATAAAGATTCTGATAGACACACTTTACCTTTTATACAACTTAAGTCTAACACTGTTTAGAAGGATGTAGAGAACATCTCCTGGGCACTGGTAGGTACTGGTACAATGGCTGATAAAGATTCTGATAGACACACTTTACCTTTTATACAACTTAAGTCTAACACTGTTTAGAAGGATGTAGAGAACATCTCCTGGGCACTGGTAGGTACTGGTACAATGGCTGATAAAGATTCTGATAGACACACTTTACCTTTTATACAACTTAAGTCTAACACTGTTTAGAAGGATGTAGAGAACATCTCCTGGGCACTGGTAGGTACTGGTACAATGGCTGATAAAGATTCTGATAGACACACTTTACCTTTTATACAACTTAAGTCTAACACTGTTTAGAAGGATGTAGAGAACATCTCCTGGGCACTGGTAGGTACTGGTACAATGGCTGATAAAGATTCTGATAGACACACTTTACCTTTTATACAACTTAAGTCTAACACTGTTTAGAAGGATGTAGAGAACATCTCCTGGGCACTGGTAGGTACTGGTACAATGGCTGATAAAGATTCTGATAGACACACTTTACCTTTTATACAACTTAAGTCTAACACTGTTTAAAAGGATGTAGAGAACATCTCCCGAGCACTGGTAGGTACTGGTAGAAAACAATGGCTGATAAAGATTTATCACAAGACCTTAGTCTAACTCTGTTTAGAAGAGGTATTGATTCTGTGTCAAGATATTTCCTTTTCTGATTCTTAATTTTTATGGCTAAATCTAAACAAAAATCTGTATCAACTTTTTTGTTGGATTGCATTTTGCGATTGTTGCTTATTTCTGCAGATGTTCTTGGTAGTATATTAACCAGTGGTACTTTTTATGTACTTAGTAGTTAATTCTATTTGATCTCTCATTTCAGCTTGTATACTCATTGCAACATTACAAAGGCGATGATAAAATCAAGGAGTTTATCTGGGATCTTGTATCACCATCTAACGACGGCTCACTCAAAAACCACTCAGGTAAAGCAGTGGGCGTCCTGCCAATCTTTTTTACCGCTTTGAAGATTTGTTTTACAAAATGTTAATATTTGTGTTCAAGTGTTTACATGCAAAATCATGGTTAAACAATCATTAAGAATCTAGAATCGATGTGAATATTACAGAAATGTGGTAGTTAAAAAAGATGACATTTAGATGTTCTGTCAGACAGGTTATACAATGAAATTTGTATATCTGGATAAAATCTGTTTTATAAGATTCATAAGTTAAATGTTTAAAAAATTAAAATATTCCAATTTGTCAAACTTAACTCCGACTTGATAATTTTTTTTTTCACTTTATTTATGTTTACCTTTTAACTTTTCATTCATGCGTTGTACAGGATTGTCTGCCCCTGTTCCGAGAGGGCGCAAGGGAAAGAACAAGAAGAAAGAGGCACTACAAAATATTGACCAATCTTTCGCAGTGGACAAAAACAAGATTGATATTGACCCTGAGGTCGTATTAAGAGATGCTGGCTACCGCCGTCACCTCCACAGACATGCAAACAAGTAACACATGGTTATTAACAGTGGTCAATATTGTTTCAGATTTCATGGAAATTGCAAAAAAAAAGAAATTAAGGAATAACGCTACATAGAAAATGCTTCTTTATTTTCAACAATGTTGATGACACAAGTGCCTCGTGTTTATCACCAGAGTGGTTACAGATTTAATAAGGATGGCTTTTGTTTTGCAGGGTGTTACTACGAGTAAGGCTGTTGTACTACATCAAACAGGAAATCATCGGAGAGGAGGCAGAGAAGGTGTTCCAAGGATTAAGTCCAAGGTAAGGGGAAATAAACAAAATTATCAGTTCCCAGAAAATTGAAATAATTAAAATTCATTAGTTCCTAGAAATTGTTTCGTGTAAGAGGTAGAGATTATTTGAAAGAATTGAAGCCTAAATAAGCTGAAATGAAAGAAATGTGTCGGGTCTCCACGGAATGGTTATATGAATATTCTTTATCAACTATATCAGTTACCTTTGATTTTCATTAAAAAAAAGTTAGGTAAAATGATTGGTGTCTATTTCCAGTGAGATGGACATACCACAGCCTAATGCTGACGGGGAGCCTCCGACTGCCTGGTGGGACGATGAGGCTGACAAATGTCTCCTTATTGGGGTGTTCAAGCATGGTAAACAAATTATCTCACTCCCTGTAGTGTTTAATAAAATGTCCAACTACTCATTGAGTTGTTCAATCACAGCTTACCTTATACTATCATCAGAGTTTAGCTGTGAAGAACCAATGTCCCAGGAGGTGTAGCTGAGTGTTTACATCCTTCTAGGTTTCAGGAGGATACCTAGTGGTGTAAACAAGTCCTCGAAATGTAACGCAAATAACTCCTAATACAGTCATTGGAACCTGGGCCACATTCATTGGTTGCGATCCATGTGGTTGAACCGGTTGGACCAGAGTTGTTCATTTATGAAAAGAAGTCGAACCTAGTTTAAAGGCGAGGCTTGACAAAGTCTTGCAAGGCCTGCATAAACATTTGCAGGTCTGCCAGGATTTATACATGAAAATGCTACATTTAAAAACAGACATTTTGTGAAACTGGTTGAAACTGATCCTTAAACGGAGCCCATGATTCAAGAGTTGCTGCTCTTCTTTTATTTATCTTCAGCAGTGTTCATTACAATCTCCCACTCCTCATTGGGGTGTTTAATCACAGTTACTATAACTTTACAATCTCTTACTCCTCATTGGGGTGTTTAATCACAGTTACTAGAACGTTACAATCTCCCACTCCTCATTGGGGTGTTTAATCACAGTTACTATAACTTTACAATCTCTGACTCCTCATTGGGGTGTTTAATCACAGTTACTATAACGTTACAATCTCCCACTCCTCATTGGGGTGTTTAATCACAATTACTATAACTTTACAATCTCTGACTGCCCTGATGTTTGAAATAGTGTCAGTAACTAGAACTGTTAATGCTGAGAGACCAGTGATACAAACATTTCATTTATGAAAATTTTGTCCCCAGGATATGAAAAGTTTAATGCCATACGATCGGACCCTTGTCTATGTTTCCTGACCAGATGTGGACCACCAGATGGGGCTGCCCTCGCTGCTGAACAGAATGATGACGAGTAAGAAATTACAATTGAAGAATCTTACTATTTTCATAGTTTTATCCATTTGCACCAATTGTTATCAGACATTATTTCTGAATGACTGGAAATATATTTGTTCAGTCGTCCGTAAACTTATTACATTTTCGACTTATCAAGAACCGGTGGATGGAATTTTTTCAACTTTATTCAGAATCATCCCTGGTAGATGAGGCTACAAAATTGTAAAATTGGGATTCCTACCCCAACCCCAGGGGCCAGGGCGTGGCTCCAAAGGGAAAATTAACAAAAATCCTCTTCTCCAGACTCAGAGGTACTACAGTCAATTTCTCTATATGGATGGAAGGATATACAGTCAATTTTTCTATATGGATGGAGAGATCATCAGGGGTTTTATTTAAATTGGAAATTTCAGTACCCCCGGGCCATCCATACTCCCTTGGGGAGGGGGTACAATTTACTACAGTTTATTTTGGGAAATAACACTTCTGGGTATATTTTGTTCATTTTCAGTAGGAAATTATCCTTACTTGGTGAGAATCATCATTGGAGGAAGATGGTATCAAATTGTAAAATTCGGATTCTTACCCTGACCCCTAGGGGTACATTTTGTACATCTCAACAATGAAATTGAGCTACTGGTACCAATGATATAACTCAGGTGACCGCTAAGGCCCTTGGGCCTCTTGTTGTTCTGATTACACGTTCCAATGATGACACGCCATGCTAATACAGAGAGTCCGCTGTGACACTGGATGTGCTGGTGACACTGGGCCACTATGAGTTGACATTTTCCATATCAGTCTGAGGAACATAACCTGATCTTAGAAATTGCACACATGTTAATTGTTTAGACTGTAAAGTGAATCTATTCAATGTAATACAAACTCAATAAACCATGTGTACCTCCTTGATATTTTACAGTGATGACATGGATGATACTCAGGGAAACACCAGTATATCCAAAGTTCTAGATATGCCAGACGAGGCGTCAGTTAGCTCCATGTCGGATGCTCTCAGCAAAAAAGGACCAGCTGTTGGTTCAGTTGGAACCGCACAGGCACCTGAACCGGAAGGGGACAAGCTTCCTTGGCCAACGCCCTCTGACCTCAACACGAGGCTGCGACGGATGATCACTGGTTTTCAGCGTAATCACAAACGCCAACTGGTGAAAAATGCTCAGAAAGTCAAGGTGGGTTTAAATGTATTATCAAACTTGGTTAGAATATTGGTGTTAAATTTTCTAGCTGGAATGAGTGTCTCTTTTGGATGTGATAGACCCTGATTTCAAATTTGTAGATAATGTTTACAAAAGGTATTAAGGCATTGGGTTCCCCTGTTGACACCGTGGGTGTTGAGTGTCTCTTTTGGATGTGAGAGACCCTGATTTCAAATTTGTAGATAATGTTTACAAAAGGTATTGAGGCTTTTAACTGATTGATCTATTACAGTTTTCCATGATAAATTATGACAGAAAAGTAACCTATTGACATTTGAACTTAATGATGGCAAGCATTCAAATTTATTTTCATTATGATAAATAAAAGGTTGATAACCAATTTTCTTTTAAGTGATTATACCCTGTAGGTAATTTATAAGTAAACAACTCCTGATTCTAATACAAGTATTAATACCTTACATCTCCTTATGTACAGCAACTCCAGAAGCGGGATAGGCTGGAGCTGGCCATCAAGGAGAGGGAGTCTCAGCGTCGACAGTTTCAGCAGTGGTAAGTGTAACATCACCATAGTAACACAACACTAAGATAATTACACACCAGTTTTAGCCAGCAGAAATATATACCAGTTAAACAATGGGACAGATAACCTTCCATATCAATGCACAACCAGTGATCGTTTCTTAGATGAGTATCTTCTCGTCCATCAGTCTAGTCAAACATAAATTGTTTTGTTATTGTCTTTTCATTGAAATGAATAAAATAGTTACAGGGTAAGAAGAATCTCAGGTCCAGTAGATCGTACTTGCCCCAAATGTTCTGTTGAATACTTTAGTTTAATCTATGGCATAGCGGTTTAATACTTTTCAAACAGACAAAATTCTGTTAAAAAAAGACGAATATTATACAAGCTACTTCCATGAAAAAAATTATGATTCAAACGCTGAACTGTTTCTGATTGTAGTCGCTGGTCTCGACGGGAGGAGGCTGATTTTTACCGTGTGATATCAAGCTATGGTGTGGAGGTTAACCTGATCACAGGCAGATATAAGTGGGACAGGTTCCGAGCTCTCGCCCGCCTGGAGAAGAAGTACGACGAAACACTCACCGAGTACTTCCAGGCCTTTTACCACATGTGTATGAGGGTCTGCAAAAAATTCAAAAATGATGACGATGGTAAGAAAATTTTAAATATTATACCGAATTAACTGTCTTTGATGGAGCAAATTGAAATCATGACAAATTTTATCAATGAGACTAGTTACAGGCATATTTTCCACAGCACATGGTAACTGTTTATTGATGCTAGGATGTTCTGGGTCATATGGTGTATTTATCATCATCAAAACACTGGGCTAAACTGTTCAGAGGGTACACATGTCATTGAAGTTCCAATGATGACACGCCATGCTAATACAGAGAGTCCGCTGTGACACTGGATGTGCTGGTGACACTGGGCCACTATGAGTTGACATTTTCCATATCAGTCTGAGGAACAGCACTTTTGATAACAGGGTTCTATGTACAACATGGTCATAAACCGTAAGACAAATGGTACTGCTGTGAAACAGGGTTGAGTGAGTGTTGACTAGTTGTGTTCAGAGAAGGAATGAGTATGGAATATTTCTGTGTGGATATTTACTGTTGCCTTGTCTCTAAACAAGATGGATGATGAACTGTGAATTATACTGTAATTACGTCAACTTGGAAGATTTATGGTGGAATGATGACCAAGATTTGTTACAGTAAGAGTTGAACGTTTACGTTACAGCACTGCCTCCAAACAACATCTACGTGGAGCCGATCACCGAGGAGAGAGCCAGCCGATGTCTTGCCAGGATAGACCTGCTCAACAGGATCCGTGCAGATGTGCTATCCCATCCAAAATTTGAGGAGAGGGTGAAGCTTTGTCAATCATCCTATGATCTACCCTCCTGGTGGATACCAGGCAAACACGACCGTGACCTTGTCATTGGGGCTTCCAGGTAGGCTAACAATCTGACGTCTATTGGACCTCTAAATCCAAGGGATTTCTGTATAAGCTTAAAGTATCTATATTATATAGATCAAGTCTCCTGATTATGATGGCACAATGGACACATTTAAATTGAAATCATATTTCACTTTTACTTTACATGAAATCCTTGAAATTACACTAATGCCTACTTTTATACCCATCTTATTTTACAGACATGGGGTTGTGCGGACCGACTATAACATACTGTATGATCCAACCCTGTCATTTAAAGACATTGTGAAGAAAGGAGTTCTACAGTTTACAACTGAATCTCCTGGTCCTCAGGCAGCCATGTCAACAAAGGGTTTGTAACTTACTTCTTCACTCATTACACCAATCAGTAATGGCTGAAATTACATCTCTTAAGGTTTTGTATCCGATGCTGGATGGCTCTGTTTGTTTATATCAAGGAGTTATGTTAATTTTGAGTTTTATATTTTCTATATTTATAGGATATGGTGGTTGTAAGTTTTTGCAATTCAAAAGTATAACGGCGGATAAGTTTTGAGGAACCCCAATCCTAAAGTCACTAGGTTAAAAGTAAAAAACAAATCCATTGGGGCATAGGTTAAAAGTAAAAAACAAATCCATTGGGGCATTGAAGCATTAAATCTGAATTTGCTTTCAGAAAAAGATGTGGAAAGTGAATCAACAGTAAAGAAAGAAGATTCAGGAGCAGAGTTGAAGGATGACAAGCTGAAAATTGAAAAAGTCGAAGAAGAAGCCGAAATGGAAACCACAGAAAGTAAGGAAGTGTCTAATGGTGTCAAAAAGGAGGAGGAATCAGAAACTGAAATAAAAGATGAAGTGAAAGAGGAAAAGGAAGAAGTAAAAGAAGAAAAGGAGGAAAAGGAAGAACAAAATGGACAGGATATGTCTAAGGACAAGGAAAGCATGGAGGTTGAAGAAACGGACAACAAGGAAGTCAAGCAGGAGGACGAAGGGGAAATGGAAGTTAAGACGGAAACTGCATCAACAAATGAGGAGAAGGATGATGCTGAAGAGAAACCGGAAATGGATAAGGAGGATGACAAGGGAAATGAAGAGGTTAAGATGGAGGTAGAGCAGAAAAAACCAATAGAAAATGGCCACCTAGAGGACGAGGAGGAGGAAGAAAAACCTGTAAACCTAGGAGTAAAGGTTGAGGAGCGGGAGGAACCAAAGGTTCTGAGTGATACAGAGATGGTGCGTAAGGTTATCGAGGCTGTGAAGGAACGACGAGAGGACCAGCTGTTGGACAGGAAGTTCACCAGGGAAGATGAGGTAGGATTGGTATAATCAATTTGGATAATTCCAGCCATTATATAAAAGATTAGGCCTGTGGTAAGGCTTTTTGGAAGTTTCATTGCTGATGGGGAAAATAAAATAAAACAATTAAAAAAAGAATTGTAATGTACACTAGACAAATAAAGGATGTCTGTTTTGTAAGATATAGAGTATTAGCAACAAATCTGAAACGTTTTGTTGGGAGAAATTGATACAAATGGGACTACCTAAGAGTAATTTAGGCCATTTTGTGGCAGGAATACAAACAGGTTAAGAAGTATAAAATCTGATATATATCAACTTTCTACAGTTCTTACTTTAATGTAATTAATTGTCATTTCTAGGAGCTGCAGAAATTTATGATTGCCGACGACTTTGATCCAGATCTGCCTCCAGGGGAATTCAATGCTCTTGGAGTCTCCCTGAACTGGCCAAAGGTAATAGTTCAATGCTGGAGCTCATCTTGTTCATGTCTACTGTTGAAACCAGAATGCTCCTAATATTCTTTCTGATGTATTAAAGTGTAATGGTGGCATGTAACACCAATGGTGCTCAGTGTCTTTGTAGCATCCTTTTATAAATCCTTTTATCTGTGTGACTGTAATATTATTTGGTGAAAATCATTGTGCACACATCATAATCTGTTCATCATTAGCATTGTAGCCTCATTGTAAACCAGCATTGCAGTCCCACAGCAAGTGAGAAAGGATTTATAATAGCGAGCTAAAGTAATAATGAATTATTCTTACAGAATATATTTTTCAGAATATTGTGGTAGATTATTAGATCACAAAGAACCCTGTAGAATATAGAGTTACAGATATCTTTTTTCATTGACTTTACAGAAAATTATCTGCAAGTTTTATATTTGTAGGATCGTGTGGTTTTTCATCGGTTAGAACACATCTGCTATTGTGTGGAACATGCAGAATGGCCTTTCCCCAAGAGAATGAACCCACTGACTGACTCGCGCAGCGGCACCCCTATTGGATCACTGACACCAAAGGAAGATGCTGACCTGAGTCATTCCGATGCTGGCGACTCCGTGTATGATGGAGTGAAGGTGATGAATGTGGGCGTAGATAGATTAGATAAGGACTTTGAAGTTCAGATGACGGAGGTAGGGACTTTTAAGTCAAGTGGGTGTGGCTTGATTTGTCATGGGAAGCCAGCTTCACAATCTCCTCTTCTTATTTGGTGTTTGAATGGCATAGTGTCTGACTCATTTGCTGCGTAAAAATTTGCCTGTGGGTTTGTGGTTTGTTATAATCAGACTTCCTAACACTAAGAATGTTCACTCTACCAGGAAATCTTCAGGAAACTGTAACTGTCACTCAGGTATTTCCAACATCTTCTAGAAAGCATATTCTTCACCTCCTAAAATACCTCAAACTTGTATTTCCCAGTACACATTTTGACTGACAAAAATATATCCTAATTTTGAAAATAAATCTTGTTGTGTGGAGCAGCTCATATTGTTAGAGTTTATCAAATTTTATCACAAGAAAAACAAGTTGGAAAACAAATGTCCTGATTTAAACTAGCAACATGGGATGGTAAAGTATACAGAAGGGAGACTAATCTGCTGATTACTGAGAATATTTTTTTTTCAAACAAACTTTACTAGATCAAATCATGACTGTCCGCTGCTTTTAGTTGGAAAGTTAAAAATGATGAGGATTTAAAAAAATGTTCAATAGCAATAAGATTGCTGTGTTATTTGTTGCATTATTCAATATTTTGATTTAACTCCTTACCTGTCATTATCTTTTGCTTTCCTTTTCTTTTGTGTACTTCATTTAAGTACTTGTATGATCTGTTCTGATGAAATTATAGCATGCAAGAGTCTTGGAATAGTGAAAATCTAGCTTGCCCAATTGACTATCTTATTGGACTATATATATTGATCAGATAAAATGTTCCTTTTATAGTATTCTTATTTTTTTTGTTCATTCTCTTTATAATTATGAAAATAACATTTGTATGTATCCTTTTTTTGTTTTTTTACAAAACTCGATAAGGTTTTGATTTTGAAAAAGTCGTATCAAAGATCAGTGTTTGGTTTACAGAAAAACACTTTCTAAGATAATTATCAAAGGATTATACCAAGTCATAACGTTACACAGGTTAATATTAATGATAGAAATGAGGAGTCCACTTCATGTCAGGTTGTCTTGGTTACAGGGAGATGGTTTGAAGATGACGTTCCATAGACGGGCTGCAGCACAGAGGAAGTATGAAATGGAACTAGAGCGTGAACGGGAACGGGACGTAGGTATGTATCATCGTCGGGACTTGTACGATTACTGGAGGTGGATACTTATCATGTCAGAGATGGAACTAGCATAGAAATTTTCAGTGATTACATTAGATTTCACTGACTCAAGTTCAAACCTACTTTCAGAACTATCAGAAGTTGTGGCATATATATAACTGCTCATGAAAGTAACATGAATGTTTCATTTTGAACAGGTGAACTCTTTGGAAAGTTTTAGTCCTTATGCTGTGGTTTGCCTTGTGGCAGGTAGATGTAAAAGTGACATGACATGACATTTTTTAGTACATCCATTTTTTTAAACCAGAAAATGTAATACGTGCAATTTTTAATAAGATATTGTGTGTTTTTTTGTGTGACAGGGGGCCGTGTTCAACAGATACTCAACCAAAATATGCAGTCAACAGCCTCAAGCGATGATAGCCAGTCAGACATGACGCCTCGTTCTCAGGTACTCGGTCATTCACCGCGCCAATCACCTCATCAATACTACTATCCACAGGTTTGTCAAGTGTCCATCCAGGGTTCACATACAAGCTGATGTGTCATGTCTGCCTGTGTGTAGCTAGCTAGTTTATACTGTAGTCAGCGATCAGGCACTATCCTGCTATAAATGTTGTGTCTCTGTCTAGTTTATATACCGTAGTCAACTATTTATTAGTCCCTGTTAATGTCTACGTCAAGTTACATACAGAAGACAACCAATGTTACTATTCTGTTATAAACATGTTTAAGAATAGATTGTAGTCAATTATAAGTCACTCTTCTGTAATAAAAAATTGCATCTCCGTCAAGTTTAATGTCGTGTTTCATCAAGTTTATATACCATAGTAAAAAATCATGCCCTATTTTTGTCTCGCCGATACAAAGTGGCGGAAGCGAGACTACGGAGTTGCTTTTCCGGCGACAGAAGTTATTGCGTCTAAGTTAGTTTCTCTGAAAGTGTAATTGCTAGACCAACCAAACTTGGACCATAGATGCATCTTAGGTAGTACATCTCAACCCATGCATCAAATGCTGAATGCAGCCTACCTCTAAAACTAAGTGCTTCACCAACCAATCTTGACATGTGCGTTGATGGTCAAAGCGGGGCACAGGCGAGACATATCAATTCGAATGGCTTTTGTGATTAATGTTTCTCCATCTAATTTATTTGCTGTTGTCAGCGATCAGTCACTTTTTTGCTAAAATATATACTTATCTAGTTTATAAACCATTGTCAATGATTTAGCATTAATTTGTTGTGAACATCGTCTGTGTCTATTTTATATACCATCGTTGTCAATAAGCCACATAATGTTATACACGTCTAGTCTCTATACTATAGTCAACAATTAGACCATGCAAATATATCAATAAGAAATTTCTTGACAGATCCAATATAAAAAATCTGAAAAAGGAAGAAATGGATATACACATACATTATAAAGATTTTAAACAAAGGTAGTTAAAAGTTTAAAGACACTGTTATATCACTTGTTTCAAATATTTCTTTCTAAACATAGAGCTTGGTAGGTTTGATCAGTGTTAAATAAAACGGACATTTGAATCTTGACATTGTAAGCCTCTATTGTACTGCATGTAAGCCTCTGTTGTACTGTATGTAAGCCTCTGTTGTACTGTATTTGTAAGTTTGTGTGCATCCTGTCTTTCATATTCAGCTTTACTTGGAGAACTGCATGTTAGTAGATAATGTATACATAGTTGATAACAAAACACTGCTATAATTGTTGTGATGTATTATAGTCTATAACATAGATCTTGGAGTATGAGTCTGATGTGACATGTACTATTATGACGATGACCCTAATATGACCTGAACTACCAAGAGTATGACCTCTGTAACCTGTACTACCATTATTATGACCTTTGTGACCTCTGCTACAGTGTTAAGGAGTCTTATGACCTTTACTAGTGTGTATGACCATTTTTGACATATACTTGGAGGCTAGTGTCTGCTATGTATATGTATGACCCTGGATGGCACACCAAACAGAACAGATAGACTCTGTGTGGTGGGAATGGCTCCATATTAATAACCGTACTTCATTAGATCCCACAGTAATCTGATTAAGCATACTTCCCACTAATTTCTTTTCCTATGCCCCTCACAAATGTCACTTACTGTGCTCCCTACTAATGTCACTTCCTATGATCCAACTCCCTACTAATGTCACTTCCTATGATCTGACTCCCTACTAATGTCACTTCCTATGATCCGACTCCCTACTAATGTCACTTCCTATGATCCTACTCCCTACTGATGTCACTTCCTATGATCCTACTCCCTACTAATGTCACTTCCTATGATCCGACTCCCTACTAATTTCACTTCCTATGATCCGACTCCCTACTAATGTCACTTCCTATGATCCGACTCCCTACTGATGTCACTTCCTATGATCCTACTCCCTACTTATGTCACTTCCTATGATCCGACTCCCTACTAATTTCACTTCCTATGATCCGACTCCCTACTAATGTCACTTCCTATGATTCGACTCCCTACTAATTTCACTTGCTATGTTGTTTTATATCACCTCAATACATTCTTATTTAAATCTTTTTCTTCGTTTCCACAAATATATCCAGAGTAAGAATAATGCAGCAACATAAATACAGTTTTAGACAGCATTGAGACAAAGGTTGTTTATGGTTACCATATAATAATAATTGATTTGGAAACATTTATGGAAACCATAAGAAATGCTCTGGAAATATTTGAGGAAGCAATTTTTCCTTCAATAGCGCTTCGTTCCACCTGGTGGTGGAGATAGTGATGTTAGTGCTTCATTTACCAGTTACACTGGTTCAGATTATTTTACTGTACACATTTTGATCACATCCATAACAAAGTAAATATAATTAATGTGAATGAGTAGTTTTTGCATGGCAATCATTATTACTAATTGATTTGATTCAGTATGTTCTGTGTCAATAGGACATTTATACTATTTTCTTTATTGTTGTAAGAAAAATTAGAAAAATTAAATGACATGCATTTTAATTAAATTTAAAAGAATTCCCTTTTTTTTTTTTTATTAAAATTGTCTAAATATAAAATCAACTCGATTCACTTATTCTTTGACATTTGGGAACCATCTAATAATCCCTTGCAAAGCTGTGTTTTCAATCTTGAATCTGCAATAAACTGACCAAATTTTGTTTTGGTGACCATTTGATAACGTGTACATTTTTACTATCGCAGACTCCAGCTGAGATGATGACCAATGGAGGGCCAGAATTTGACCCGGTTCTTCTGAAAAGGAGCTTGGTAAGCTACAAGTAGACATAAACTTGGGTTATTTAATCACAGTAAAAACCATGAAATGTCTTTGAAAACGTGCTTGAGATGAGAATGTACTGGTATCTATCAGTCATCAAGAATATGTACAGAAACACACGTCTGACTAGAGAGGAAGTAATTTAATAGTAAACTGAAAGTGGTTGTGTTATGTTAAGTATAGTTGTCTGATTTCCTTGAATTCCATGACACAGTTATGTAAATATTTCATTCCATTTAGTTTCTTGTCATGTCAAACTTTGTCCATTAATTAATGGGATATTATAGTCACAAGTTTGTTGGAGAGTCTCGCATATCAGTCTGGCATAATAATATCACATGAAACAAAGTTCCTCCTGAAAATAGTCCAATATTTGTGTGGTAGAGTCTGATAAAACATAATTATTCCATTGTAGATGGAACACGCACTTATGTTCCCTGAGAGAAGACGAAGAGGTCGAAAGAGGAAAGCTGAAAAAATGGCAGAAATTGCTATGGCTGAAGCCCTGGCGAGGAGAAGTCAGGCGCGGGCCTTGGTCACTCTTGATTGTGGTAGGTTTTAATCATTGTTGGGGGGGAAAAGTCTGTTAAGGAGCTGTATTGTGATGTTACCATGTGTCTCCATACTGAACAACATCCTTATGAATGAAGGGCTCAAATTAAGTTAGAAAGTAAGTTCTGTTGAGTTGAATACAACTTTCTTGACAATTTTTCACATCCTGAATTCAATGTTTTGTGTGCAGAAGCGCGGGTCCCTGTGATAAACCTGGAGGATGGCAGTCGTCTGTCTGGGGATGAGGCTCCATTGAAGAAGGACTTGGACAACTGGTTGGACCATCATCCAGGGTACATGGTGGACAGGCCGGGTGAAATGGAAGAGGTCGAGGACTTCTCAGAGATGGCAGCATTACAGCGGGTAATATAGGGCTTCTTTGACAAAACCGTTGTTACAAAGTTACATCTTGGGAGGTGATACCGTGTAGCTGAAACTTTGCCAGTTGTAAGATTTGGCTTTAAAAACTGAAAGGCATTACTTGATATTTAAAACTTGATGATTGTCGTAAGCCTAATTTGGTATTTAATATGGTAAACTTTAAGGTCTAATACCTGATAAACTTTCAGGTCTAATTCCATTTGATATGATCTGTGGTTAGGATTTCTAATTAGTGACCTGGCATCATTAAAAAACACCTATATCCATTCCGTTTTTGCTAATGTGCCTGTTGGATTTCAAATTTACCATTGCTTCACAACTGACAACAGTATATCATTTGATACTCTTAAATGCTTTTCTGTGTCGGAGAGAGTAGACGCAATGGCCTGCCAAATGGATTCTCTGCTGAGTTTACCTGCCATACAATGTTTGGTTTGTAGTTGGAACATATGTGATACCTGGTGTTGACACTAGTTATGTTTTTAGTTACAGGAAACCCCGGAGAAGAGGAGAGGGCGACGACCCCGGGTAGACCCTGCGATGCTTGACCATAATAAGCTAACAGGAGAAGAAAATGTGTCTGTTATTCATAGATTAACAGGGAAAAAGGTTGGTTGTCATTTAAAGACGGTTATTAATTAGAGAAAGTGTTGAGTCTTCAGTAAGGTTATTTATCATTTGAATTTGATTGTTTGATTCTCAATAAGATCATTCCATGTAGAAATTTAGTGATGAGTTGTCAATAATATTGTTCACTATCACTGAAAAGGCTCATTCAGCAGAATTTTAAGGTATATGTGCAAGAATGATGTTTTTACCCAGTTTCGACAGGGTGGTGAACAAGGGGAAGTAATTCCCACATCACTAACGTCACCAGTGACCAAGCTGGCAGAATGTCAATGAAACTGTCTGGGTAAGAACATCGTTTTACATAGCAGTGACTCGATGAATCTTGCACATAATATTGTTCATTGCTGGAATCAGATGATGGGATATCATTGCTTACAATTTCTTGTTTAGGAAATTTTACTGTTGCATTTAATAGCTTCCAGTCTTCTGTCAGATATTCAACCATAAGATATTATTCAAAGAGTAAAATTTGATCAGGTGATGAACATTCAGATATTTGTTAGTTACCCGGTAATCTGATGAAATGCACCCTTCATTCTTTTTACACAGATAACTGGTGCTAAAGCTCCTCCTTTGAAATACCTAGCCGAATGGTTGGAGCAAAATCCCTTCTTTGATGTTGACTCAAAGTGGACAGATCTAGTCAAAGCTAAGGTAACACAAACTATAAGTTAATGATCAGCATGCAAAGTACAGACGTGTATGACACTTACCAGTTAGTGTGTCTGTCAGTCTAGTACAAAACTTAGTACAATATTTCTCATGAAATTCTGAACAGTATAAGTTTTATATTTATACGAGAGTATGTTAACATCAAGTTCTTTTGAAGCATACCTATGTGAGCCCCTGCTCACTTTGTTTTGCCATGAATTTTAAATCCTTGCTGTCTCTCCTCAGTGATACACTGTTGACCTGTTTTACAAAGCTGACATTTTTTGTTGCAGGGCAAGCTTCCCAAATCCTTACTGTCTCGTGTGATCACACCTTCAGAGAAGAGAGGGCGTGGAAGGCCTCGTGAAAACCTTCTCTCACAGTCAGTGTTAGCTGGAGAAAATCCATTCACATCCATGGCAGGATTTTCTGGTATTAATTCTCCAGGCATGATGACTGGCTTTCACAAACTACCTCTAGGGATGCCCTTTGGATCTCTACCTCCGCTCGGAATGGCCAATCCAATGCTTGGGTTAGCTGGCTTTATGCCTGGACTACCTACCTCATCACTCACCAAAGAGTTTGAATCTTCTAAGAAAGATAACTCTCCAAATAAAAAAGACAAGTCAGACTTGAAATCTTCATCTAGTAGTACCCCTACACCCCACCCATCATTCCCAAACCTCATGTACAATCCACTCATGTTTAATCCGTTACTGGCAGCCCAGGCACAGCACCTTGGCTTCTCCCTCCCCACCAGTTTACCCACCTCCTTCGCCTCACTTGCTGCTCAGTCGGCCATGATGAATGGTCAGGGAGGCGACTCAGACCTGGAAGAAGGAGAGATTAAACGTTACCCTACAAAACTGCACCAGGATATGGCACAGGATTTGTCGGTCAAAAAGAACTCCAAGCCTACTCCGAAACGAAGGCGGGATGACCGAGAACGATCCTCAAATTCTACGGTGCGGGATGAACAGGAACAGCCATGTGATCTCTCGATGAAAGTCAAACCCAAAGAACATTCGTCTCATAAAGAGCAGTCCCGGGTTCAGCACAGAGAGTCAAATAAATTACCTCATAAGGAACACCACAAAGTACCTCATAAAGAACAGCTGGGTAGGGAGCCATCAAAGGAACACCATAAGTCTCACCACAGAGAACACCCAGGAGAGCACCACAAGGATTCCCACCACAGGGAACAACACCACAAGGATTCCCACCACAAAGAACCACATAGAGAATCGCATCACAAAGATCCACACAAGGATTCCCACCACAAAGATCCACACAAGGAATCGCACCACAAAGATCCACACAAGGAATCGCATCACAAAGATCCACACAAGGAATCGCATCACAAAGAACTGGAAAAGGAACAAGCATTTGAACTGTCTCATAAAGAAACCAAAGATTTCACTAAGGTAAAGACTAAAATTCAAAGCTCGTTTAAACTGAGCAGAATTGTGGACTCGTTAAAAGACAAAGTGAAAAAAATGGAAGATAAAGGAAAATCTAAAAAGTCAAAACTTGACAGTATTTTGTGTAAACTTAATTCAAAGACAGATGGAGATGAGGAGACCAGCCAATCAAGTGTGACACAGGATGAGGAGGCCAGTTTAACCACAAGTGTGGAAAATGAAGGGTTAGAGGAGGTGGGGCCAGACCCAGAGGAGACTGGGCCTGGTTTAGAAGGAGAAGGGCCCGAGCCAGAGGAGGCTGGGTTTGGGGAGGAAGGCCCAGAAGGGGATGGGGAGGAAATGGCAGCCAGTGAAACGGAAAACAAGGAAACGACTGAGAATTCAGCGAGTGTCGTTGAACACACGGAGAAGTCTGTTGGGGAGGAGGAAGAGGAGGTTGTTGCCGACTCCTGATGTGGAGGAACTGAAGTGTTGTCTCATTCAGTCATTGTTGTGCAATACAAACCTCCCTCTCCTGTACCCCACAGGTTGTTATCGGTAGTGTTACGTAGTTGTACAATGTGGTCGACAGAATAGAGGCTCCCTTACTAGTGTGAGAGTGTGTATATGAGAGAGGATGTTTGCGGGCGAGTGTGATATACTGTGATTATGCATCAGATGTGTTGTGAAACTTGAAAAAACAGTCATTTCTCACCGTGTCTATTATTATTCCCATGTAAAGTGTGATCACAGCCATTTTTCTGGATATTTTTTTTCCAACTTGAGTTTTTGGTGAAAAGTGCATATCAGTAAACAAATATGGTGTGTTTTTTATGTGCCCACTGGATCCTACCAGCTGCTGGTATACTGTCCAATACTGCGGGTTACCTCTTCCAATTACTCAACTCATCATCAGTGGGTCTTATTCCTCTATCATTTCAGGCCTGATTGATTTGTCCCATGTAAAATTCCTGTTGCTCACCGATGATTGATTTTGCGTTTGATGCGTTTGATGCGTTTTGTAAATATGAAATCAGAACTTATTTTGTCTTAATACTTTATTTTTGTTTTGATTTTAAATGTTTCCTAGTTCTAATTTAAGAGAAAATACAGATGACTGGTCGTTAACAATGATAACATTATGTTATTGTCTACTTCAGACATCGGAACGAACAGAAACAGCATGTGAAATCTTGTTTTTTGTAATAAAACCAACGACTACATGAGAAACACACATCTGAATGAATCACAGTTTCTGATTTAGATGGTAGTAGTATAGTATTGTGAAATATGGAATTAAAGATACCATTATGATAATCATGAACAAAAAGAATTTTGAAGGGAACAGTATTGGCTTCAGAACAAGATTTGTGTGTTTCTAGTGTATGACTGGTTCTAGGAATCTGGTTGATAGATAGGTAGCACAATATGTATGATCTCAGCATATTAATGTTATTATAAAAGGGTTATTGGTATGTGACTGTGTCCCCCTTGATCTGACCGCTTGTCTTGGGGGACCACGTCTAAACCATACTTCAGGGCTACCCTATAAGCTTTAGTATTGAACTTTTGTTTAAACTGTCAACACTGCAATTTATTGTAAACATACTTATATTAGCAGGATCCTATTTTGGCAAGTTAAGATATTAGCTGATAATTTAATGGTTATGCATCGGAGTGAGACATAAGGATGCATGTGTACAATGTAAAGACGCAGACCTGTGTTAAGTGCTAAATAAAATAAGGTTGCTGCTAATATAGGTATATTGTATTGATGACCCATGTATGTGTAGCATTAGATATCATCATTCATATCCTGGCCAGCACTGTAGAGGAGCCTGTTCTCCAAGTCATTTACAATGATACAAAGATACCGAGATAAAGTGATAAAAGAATACCTCAAAGAAGAGATTTTGTATATGGCTCAAAAATGTTTCAATGTTGATTCCAATGTAATGTGATACAAGTCTCTCATTACAAAATATCATCAATAAGGCTTTGCAGGGCTGGTAGGTCCTAGTATATACAGTTATAACAATTGTAAGTATGTGATGCTGGTAAACAGGCTTCGTTACACTGTGTTGAGCCATTCATTAAGTGACCACCATCATTTTACTGTGCGTATATACTTAAACCATTCAGACTGTACATGCAATACACTGGCCACCATCTGATGTGCTAACTAAGCACTTGATTTAATATTCATTCACCTGGCATCTTCAATGTAAAACCGGTATACATGTACTCTCAATATTACTATCAATGTAAGAAGATCAAAGAATTGATGTCAAACCAAGTATTAAAGGTTTTACCAGAACATTGAATGCATTATATTCTTCTTATGGCAAATGAAAACAAAACACATCTTTTTTTATTTTAAGTTTAACCCTTTCACCCCTATGTAGCTTAGTAAACTCTACCATGCATTTACCTGGATGAGTCCATTATGGTCTACAGTGGTGAAAGGGTTAATCTTTTGTATGTTGAAGGTGATGCTGGTCAGTGTGTGGAATGTACAGCACTCTTGTCACAGGGACTTGTAGGTTAATTGACTTATCTGGATACGTCCGTTTGCATGGTACAGTTTATAGTGTGTTAATCTGTGCTTTATAAACGGGCACACCTCCTGACATTCAAGCTAACATACAATTTCCTGCACGAAGTATAGAATGTTTTGGGAACTGGCTTACAACCATTTAGTCCAATCCGGTTACCGTACCATGTAAGCTGGTGAATTGTCCTAGTGGCATGGAGTCTATTTTTGGGTAAAATGCTGTACTGCAGGAACAAGTATATCGCCCTAATGTCCATATTAATAAACCTACAAGCCCCTGTGCTTTCAGTCATGAATTGCTCAGTCTCACTCAGGTGTCTATGTAAAACTAGTCGAGATGTGATCACCGTGTCATACGAAATGCCAAATGCAGTGCAATTCCTTTAGATTCTCTATAAACAAAGTCTGATTCAGACAAGTAACCAATTCCATAATGGGAATATGAAAATTGCATGTCGGGTATTAAGTTAATTGTAGTGTACTGAGGTCCCATGTGTGGTCGAAGCTACAGGTAGCTAGAAAGTTGACAGTGATTACCATGTAGCTATGATTTTAGTATGTTAAGGTATTGAATGAAGTGCAAAGTGCATTAAGTAGCACCTTTGATATTGATTATTGTTTACTTAATTTAGGTTGTTTCCTGCCCTTGTGTAGCCCTAGCTATTCACTGCTGTACATTGTTTTTGTACCAGTGTACAGTGTGTGCTAGTGTACAGCGTTTTGTCTAATATGTACAGCATACATATCTTTGAGTGTAAATATCACTTTTCACCTTCACAAAATGTTCACACATGAATACAGTCAATGAATTTGAACTTTGACCTTTGGTCACAAGATTCAATCGAAAGAATATATATTGATGACTTAATATTTTCCAGATACCATGGTTACATGTTTCTTTCTTTTTTTTTTGGTTCTCCTAAATCAAAATGTTGATTGTACAATGAGATAGGTGATGTAAGTTATTGAAAATAACATGATAAATTATTGACACTGTTAGTCACATGGTTGCTGCTACATGAGAGATTTTTCCTACTGTATTATCAGTGTGAACTGTATGGGTGTATTTATTGAAAATGACAAAAGATTGTATGCATCATTATTTTTTATTAAAAACATGGATTTGGTGTTGCTTTTCTCTTGTATCTTTTGTAATATCAGTTAACAGCAGTCATTGGTGACGGGTACTGGTCACATTCAACCAGATGATACACGCATTTATATCAAATTATATGCCGTCGCATATGACACATTCACTTTAATATAGCACATTCAAATGGTAGCTCGCCCTTACTTCAGGACCAAAACCTTGACATTCCTCGCTGACTGTAAACTGATTCAGATATAATACATGCAAAGCTAAAAGGTGTGTAACGTTGATGGACTGTATTGTTGTCAGCTCCACCAGCAGAGCACAAACCACTAATTGTTTCCATTAGCCCAGTATTGCTACGAGTATTTCTAAAATATTCCGAATATCCAAGTCCAGGTCAGAATTAAATTAGATTCTGCTTAGAGAACAATTTTAACTGGTGAAACGTTTGAATGAAACAATAAGCATTCATGCAAATGTACTATCACTAGGTGTGCGTCTAGGAAGTATTCTGGTACTCTTCAATGTCCAGGACAATTTCTTTGCCAAAAGTAGAAACAGAGGTCAGATATCGTATGATCGACTTCAAACATTGAGAACCTTACTTATTGAAGTACTTTTTATTCGATGTCTGCTATACTGACACAGATGACTATGATGTCAGTACAAAGATAAGGCCAAATGATTATTACGTTGGAACATTGAAGCTTTCTGTAAAAAACTCGAGGCCACACAACTTGCCGATAAATCACTTTATTTTGGAAAAAGTTTATTTTTGTTGTTAATTGGAATGGAGAATTGAGCTACCTGGTCGAAGACGATGACCAAGTCCTGTACTTCTACATTCCTTCCTCCTTTTTCTAAGTCTTTGCCCTCCCCAAAGACAAATATTTACAACCCAGGTTCGAGAATCCGCTTGCAAAGTGTACACCTAACACTTGAATCTGGAAAGACTGCAACAGGTGATGGAAAAATGCACTGCCAGACCGGGGTTCGAACACAGGACCCTCTGAACACTCTACCAGTTCCTGGTCGCCGACAATTGACCCAGTCTAGTTCAGCTACACCTGTAAAGCAAGGCCTGCATAATAATTACATCATACAAACATAACTCTGGTAGATTAGCCGAATAACTAGCACACATTAATTCACTTCTGCTAGCCAGTTCCTTACCTGGGGATAGACTGCCTTCTCTTACGTCAAGAACCATGACTGAGAGATGGACTTTATCTAATCCATAATTTCTACCTTATACAGTACCTTGTTCACTAGCTGTTGCAAGAACATTAGACCTTGACATATTGGACCCTACAAACAGTAATTTCATATAAGTATGCTAAGATGGTGACAATTAACAAGAGTGATGTGCAGTAAAAATCTTTGTACTGTACAAGTGGAAATGTTCGCATTTCTTGTGTTGTTTAAATTAAAGCGAATATATAGCCTTATAAACTCCTTACACCATCACTAATAACTAAGGCTCCTAATAGGTAGGAATCAAAAGGAAGAACCACCTATATTTGACTTGCTAAGCAGAGCTACTGTCACAGGTAAGGACCATCTCACTAGCTACAATCATGCACCATGTTGCTGTCACAACTAAGCTCCATCCATTGGCTTCTCATCCTCGATATCTAGGGGTTACGCTTACTTTCACTCTCTGCACCCCTGGAATATGTCAGCAAAATTAAAGGTTTGGTGTGCGCAACCTTCATTTAAGCAATCGTGGCACAATATTTACACCCTCGAAGCACCATCAATGTCAACAGAGCGGTGATCATTCATGGCTGTGCCTGTTCGATGTTAAGCACAACATCACAGCTAAATACCAAAAAGTCAGCTATAAGCACGTATATCTAGGGGTTACGCTTACTTTCGCTCTGCACCCCTGGAATATGTCATAGCAAAATTAAAGGTTTGGTGTGCGCCACCTTGTTGATGAGACTAGAAGACTAGTTCGTTCCTTTGATGTACATAAAAAGAATCTTGCATTCATGTAACGGTAAAAATTGACAGGCTTTGAAGTCGGGCGTCTCTCCTTTGTAATATTCAAAGGACAAGTATCGGCCTAGCGATTGGTCAGTTTTTTTTACCCAAGACCAAACAAACAGCTATCTTCGTGCCTTCAATTTTGCTATGACATATTCCAGGGATTCCAGGGGTGCAGAGAGTGAAAGTGAGCGTAACCCCGAGATATTGAGGATGCTTGCTTCTTAAAGCACCATCAACACCCTCGAAGCACCATCAACACCCTCGAAGCACCATCAATGTCAACAGAGCGGTGATCATTCATGGCTGTGCCTGTTCGATGTTAAGCACAACATCACAGCTAAATACCAAATAGTCAGCTATAAGCACGTACCATATCAATGATTCACAGCTAAGCACCATTCATACCACAGCTATGTTACAGACGTCAGTCACAGCTATGTTACAGACGTCGCAGCTAAGCACCATTCATACCACAGCTATGTTACAGACGTCACAGCTGAGCACAATCAATATCGCAGCTGAGCACAATCAATGTACTAGCTAAGCAGTCAATGTCACTTCTATGCACCATCCATGTCACTTGAGCTATAAAGCACCAACTTATATATCAATGGTGCAGCTATAAGCACTATTAGTGTAATATTTAAGCACAGTAACACTGATAGCAGGTTAGCATTAATTATCAGTGTCACAGGTAAGTACCATCAATGGCACTGCTAAGCATTATATCAATGTCGCAGCTAAACACCAAAAAATGTCTGATCTAAACCCCACCTATGTCGCAGCTATATGAAAAGCTAAACACCCAACTTAATCCAAGCTAAGCACCATCAATGTCACAAGTACGCACCATCAACATCACATCTTAACACCAAAGAAGTAACAAGTGTAAACACCATCAATGTCACAGCTATAAAACCTAATCAACAACTAAGTCCAAGCTAAGCACCATCAACATCACATCTAAACACCAAAGAAGTAACAAGTGTAAACACCATCAATGTCACAGCTATAAAACCTAATCAACAACTAAGTCCAAGCTAAGCACCATCAACATCACATCTAAACACCAAAGAAGTAACAAGTGTAAACACCATCAATGTCACAGCTATAAAACCTAATCAACAACTAAGTCCAAGCTAAGCACCATCAACATCACATCTAAACACCAAAGAAGTAACAAGTGTAAACACCATCAATGTCACAGCTATAAAACCTAATCAACAACTAAGTCCAAGCTAAGCACCATCAACATCACATCTAAACACCAAAGAAGTAACAAGTGTAAACACCATCAATGTCACAGCTATAAAACCTAATCAACAACTAAGTCCAAGCTAAGCACCATCAACATCACATCTAAACACCAAAGAAGTAACAAGTGTAAACACCATCAATGTCACAGCTATAAAACCTAATCAACAACTAAGTCCAAGCTAAGCACCATCAACATCACATCTAAACACCAAAGAAGTAACAAGTGTAAACACCATCAATGTCACAGCTATAAAACCTAATCAACAACTAAGTCCAAGCTAAGCACCATCAACATCACATCTAAACACCAAAGAAGTAACAAGTGTAAACACCATCAATGTCACAGCTATAAAACCTAATCAACAACTAAGTCCAAGCTAAGCACCATCAACATCACATCTAAACACCAAAGAAGTAACAAGTGTAAACACCATCAATGTCACAGCTATAAAACCTAATCAACAACTAAGTCCAAGCTAAGCACCATCAACATCACATCTAAACACCAAAGAAGTAACAAGTGTAAACACCATCAATGTCACAGCTATAAAACCTAATCAACAACTAAGTCCAAGCTAAGCACCATCAACATCACATCTAAACACCAAAGAAGTAACAAGTGTAAACACCATCAATGTCACAGCTATAAAACCTAATCAACAACTAAGTCCAAGCTAAGCACCATCAACATCACATCTAAACACCAAAGAAGTAACAAGTGTAAACACCATCAATGTCACAGCTATAAAACCTAATCAACAACTAAGTCCAAGCTAAGCACCATCAACATCACATCTAAACACCAAAGAAGTAACAAGTGTAAACACCATCAATGTCACAGCTATAAAACCCAATCAACAACTTAGTCCAAGCTAAGCACCATCAACATCACATTTAAACACCAAAGAAGTAACAAGTGTAAACACCATCAATGTCACAGCTATAAAACCCAATCAACAACTTAGTCCAAGCTAAGCACCATCAACATCACATCTAAACACCAAAGAAGTAACAAGTGTAAACACCATCAATGTCACAGCTATAAAACCTAAGCAACAACTAAGTCCAAGCTAAGCACTATCAATATCACAGCAAAGCACCATAAATATCTTGGCTAAGCACCAAGAACATGACAGCTTATAATAGTACATTCAGTGTCACAGCTAAGTACCATCAGTGTCACAGCTAAGTACCATCAGTGTCACAGCTAAGTACCATCAGTGTCACAGCTAAGCACCATAAGTGTCACAGCAAAGCACCAGCTAGAAATGCCTTGGATAAGCACTATCAATATCACAGCTTAGAATATGATAGCACTATTGGTGTCACAGTGTAACACAATCAATATCACAGACAAACACCATATCAATATTTTACTGGTCACTTATTAAAGCACCATCAATGTCACAGCGCTAAGCATCATCACTTAAATAGTGAAGCACCATCAGTGTCACTCTCCGTTTAGCATATTTAATAATATATTAACATCAGAGTGACCACCATAGCTGTTGTAGTTAAGAACCATTGTTTTTCATAATTAGGATGATTACAATAACGATTATTATTATAATAGAATCTGAAAATATCATTAAAAATATTGAGAGAAAAAATTCTTAGTTCCTCTCATTATGGACTTGAGCAAGTCGCCTAAACATTAATACGCGCTGCGATCTAAAAATAACCACATTTTTACTATATTTGTAAATTACTATGAAAAAACATTAGTTTGGAATACTTGTAAATCAATTTATCACATTATGTGTGATAAATAATTTCATGTGACAATTGGAATTTTGTACATCTTAAAGACAGCTGTTTAGAGCTTATATTTTGCACTATTTTGTTACGCGCATCGATAATTTTTCTACGTTTCCTAACTTGTCCTAAATTTCCCGCCACTGGTGTGTTTAGAAATTGACGGCCATTGTTGATTCTTCCCCTGAACCGGAAGGGGTCATTCTGTAGTAAAAAGTTGTGAAGATGGGCTTGTCGGAGGACGGGGAAGATGCCGTAGAGCGGCGATTTGAAGAAATATGTCTGGATTTGAACATGGATAAGCATCCACGGGAAGAATCGTGGAATAACTATCGAAAGATTCGTGAAAATTATACACTGGAAGTAAGTTTTCCCCGCGATGTGTTGGTATGGTCCTACTGACTGCATAAGCGGTAATATGTCGATCGCATGGGTAAGATTTAACAGTTTCTGAATTTATTGCAATGTAAAAACCTTTCTGGAACGATTGTATTCATGGCAATGTTTAAACTATTTGCTTTTTCGATGTTTTGTTACGCTAACTTACCGGCACATTCATTAAACACACAGGGAGATCAGCTACACTGGCTGGCATGTGCGCTGTACGAGGCTTGCAGACGCAGCGTGGTGCCGACTGTAGGGAAGGGGACGATAGAGGGCAACTGTGTCTCCCTAACTAGGCTGCTTCGCTCGGCTGGAAGATTCAGGTAACGTCGTGATCTACTGTTTGTTTACAAGTTGAATTTTTCAATGATTATGAAAAAAAATTAACAGCTTTGAATGTCCGACTCCCCTGTGAGTGTCCATATCAAACTGCCAATACATTTTAATAAATGACATCAACGGTATCTAGCTGATGCATCATGCTAACTGGGCTGGACACAGTATGTTATGATGTGTTATTTTTTCACAATATAATAATAAATTATTTGTCTCAAATTTAACTTAGTGTATATCATGATCAACAAACTTAAGCACAAGAGTGCTTAAAAGAGCCAAAGGGAACGATGTGTTTTCATGGTGGAAGACTGCCCACAGGGGAAAGCCACTATGCCATCAAATGGATAAGAAATAGCCTTATCGGACATAATTTTCCTCCACTTCTGGGGATTGGAACCTGAATAGTCTTGAGTTAATCCGCTGGCCCGACCCAGACTTAGACATTTTGACAGGTAGATGTCTGGTTTTCTCAAATCAACATGCTTAGGGCTTCCTTGAGATGACGTAGAGGTTCAGTACTAGAAGTTACAATTTGGTTCAGAAGATGTTCTTAGTTTCTTACGATTTATTTGGAGTTTTCACGGTGAATTATCAACAGTGTTGAGACTTTACTTGCACAGGACTGTTGTTTACCTGTCAGGTGTAGTCAAAGAGGCGGTCTCGCACGTAGTTAACCTACGAACTCGTGACATTTTCGGGTCATTGATCAGGGCGCTGTAGCGTCACTGGATCACGAACCCAAGATGGCGTCTGTACCCAGAGAAGGGGCAGAACAACATGATAACACGCCATGTCGATCGACTGTGATGTCGACGGAGTCAATTGGGGTAGGTACAATTCCCCGGAACATTTTGCCTCTCAAACACAATGTCTACGAACCGCCAATGACGGAAGTGGTTATCGGGACAATTGAACACATGTCGTGTTATGACAATGTCAACAAAGAGAAAGTGGGCGGAGCTCCATCTTCAGCAAGCGGAATTAATTATGCAAATCGCGCACTGTCTGGGCAGGCTTCACGCGACACTCCGCGAGATCTGCCGGGGGTGTTTACTTCCGGTCGTGGACAACCAGACTTTGCTAGTATGTTGGTACAAAACCAATTAATTGTTCAACAGCAACAAGCGGAATTGAGATCGATGAAACAAATGATTTCACAAATACAAAACACGTCACAGACTGCGACTCCTAACGAGGATGAGGGTTCTTGTTCGGATGTGGAGATCGAGTCGGGTGAGGATACGGGAGTTGACACTCTCGCGGCCGCCACTTTTATGGACGACTTTCAAAACCTTATCAGTGATGCCGGTGATGCCGAGGAAGCACACTCTCAGAATGAGGATGGATTGGAAGCTATGGGGATGTTTTTCGCGTCCGATCAACAAACGGGCCCGGACTTAGGTAATAAGATTGTAGGAATTGTTAACAATTCGGTTGGAGCTCGTGTCGACGAGGGAAAACGAAAGGAAATCCTTAAAAAACATTTGAGGCCGGGTAACTGTAAGTTAAAAGTGCCCAAAGTGAACAAAGGTGTATGGAAAACTCTTAAAAAGTCTACCAAAGACACGGATGTCAAATGGCAAAGCACACAACATATGCTGTGTACAGCCATGTATCCTTTGCTCAGACTTACAGACTTGCTCTACAAAGCATTTTGACAGGTAGATGTCTGGTTAGTCCAAATTATTCTGACGTTTTATCGACTTTTTTTTATATCGGTCTGTTGTCGATTAATGTCAGAACTCCGGCCATCTATAATATGCGGGAAATAATCGACCTGCGCCTGGGTCGCTCTTCAAACTGATATTTTAGAAACAAATTTTTTACTTTCACACACATGTCGCACATGGATCGAAATATCTATTCTTTATGCACTAGGTGGTATCAATAACATGTTTCAAAGATCATTGCGAACAGTATTTTCTAACGTTTTCTATACCAACCCATGTTTTTAATGGAAATTAAGGCATGAGCAATTTCGCATGACTTGACGAGATCTCGCGTTACCGAAGGTATTTCCCAACGTTATGCCGTAGTCCGTTGAGATTTTAGTCACGTGGCATTAGAAGGCGGGGCTATCAAAAACATAAAGTAAAACAGAGTAAGTTTGAAATTTTTTTTGGAGTGGTTGTATTGGTTGTTTGAGGCATGTCATTTATGTTCATCTTGTGCATAAGGAATAGATCTTTCGATCCATGTGCGACATGTGTGTGAAAGTGACGATTTGTTTCTAAAATATCAATTTGAAGAGCGACCCAGGCGCGGGTCGCTTATTTCCCGCATATTATAGAGGGCCAGAGTTCTGACGTTAATCGACGACAGACCGATAAAACATCAGAATAATTCGGACTAATGTCTGGTGTGTGGCCATGCCGCACTGTCTATATGAAAGCATGGAATTCTCTGACACCGTTTGGTATTGGAGAATTCCACTTCTGACTCTTGTGCCTTGTTTGTGCTTCTAACTGTACTACTGCCTACTGAATTTATAATTTCTAAATATCTGGAAAATGTATAGTCTCCTGGCAAAAAGTTGGTCATGTACACAGATAAACTCTTTACAAAGATTTTCTGATTGTCTTTGTTTATATTTTGAACAGTTTAATCCAGTTTTTCAACAAAATGAGGAAATGGTCTGATATGGCCAACCTTCCACAGGAATTCAGAGATAAAGTGAACAGACTGGAAAGAAATTTTGCAGTGTCTACTGTGATCTTCAAAAAGTTTGAACCTATCTTCCTGGATATCTTCAGAAGTCCCTTGGATGAACCACCAAAGCAGAACAGAAGTAGGAAGCAGAGGTTTGTTTGATAGAATTAATTAGCCTAATAGAATGTTTCCATAATTTTGGAAGTTTTACAATAAAGTTGAAAGAATTAGCCTAATAGAATATGTTTCCAAAATTTTGGAAGTTTTACAATACAGTGAAACATTGATCAGTTCAAAAAAGATCACCAGAGCTTCCACACACAAAACAGATGAGGTTGTAATATTGAACGGGCACTCGTTCATTGTTTCACCACCCTTGGTTATACATATAGCCCTCCTAACAAGACACTGGGACACTTGTCATCCCACCGTATGGATACTATTGTATTAAACTGAACAGGTATTGCTGTATATGGTATGAAGTTATTACATAAGGGTCAGGTGGAGGGGGGTATTAGTGGTGGGTCTTTTGACAAAGTGCTGACTACAGTGTTTTTACTTGCCTTTCTTACTGATACAACAAAACTTGTTTCATCTTTTGACATTTTTTGCATTCTTTGTTAATGCAGGCGGCTTCCTTGTTCCTCAACAGATGTGTTTAACTTTTGTTGGACGATGTTTGTGCAAGTCAAAGGTAAATATTGTGTTTTCTGCCAATATACAAGCAAAATATGTTTGGTTTCTTGTTGTTTAAACTGTTACCATTTTGATGAATAACTGTAGAACAATGCAGAATATTTCTCTGCTTCTTGCAATGAATTTAAAAAAAAACAACAGACAAAATGCACGGACTAAACGTGTAGGGTGTACAGGCTACCTGTTAGATTAGGTAGACAAAATGTTTTGGTAGATATTAACTCTGTGTAGAAGTTGGAACATTCTACAAACGTCGCTAGAAAAATAACCTTTGACCTATACCTCAGGTCACTTGGTCATATTTGTCAAAACAATTATTAAAATGACTTCTTTTGAAGATTAAAAAGGCCACGATTGACACATTTGGCCAGCAGCTTTCTGATTTGGAATGGTACAAACTTTTGCTAAAGAAATTACTTTGACCTTTATTTAAGGTCACAGCAGTTAAATTTGTTAAACCAATTATTTACTTCTGAACTGAATGATATTTGGCTCGTAGCTTGCTAACATTGAATGCTATAAAGTTTGATGAAAAATGGCCTCATTAATCAGGTGAACATATCAAAACCCCTTGGAGTTCATTCTTGCTATTTTAAATACAGATTTCAGTTGACCATATAAAACTGACATCTGTATCTGTCATGTCATAAGAATGGGAGTGAGTTTTAGTAGTTGTTATTTATTCTATTTTCAGGAAATTTTCCAGCTATTAGTGATGATCTGGTCAACTCTTATCACCTACTACTGGCCTGTGTAGACTGGTTTTATGCCAATGCTCTTCTGGGAGGCAGGAAAGATTTACTGAATACAGAATTTGCTGGTGTGTATCTTTGATTTTTGTAGTGGCAGTGAAAAACAAAATCTGAGAAAATACACTATGTAATTTTTTTAAACTTACATGAAAAAGTTACATAATTGGTACATGAAACTTTTTTTGTCTTGTTAATAACTGTTGAAAATGTTTGTTACCTGAATCATTATATATTGCTCAAGACATCTTTGCAGCTGTATGACTGACAAATTTGTTCGGACCATAGCATTGTGCCTTATCTAATGAAGCAATTTTTGTATGCAACATCAATTGAAGGAGTAAGGAGAAAAAGAAAAAAAGACGAATAGCAGCTTGGTAAGATCTTGGAGCCTGATAGCTGCTAAAATAGCTTGGAGAGAACACTGCTTTAGTAGAAAACCAGCTTGTAGAATGATGGTACCAAATGATTGGAAGAACAAACCCTGTTTTTGTAAACCTATATCACAGCACTCGTTCCAAAGGTGAAAAGCCTCAAATTTTTCACAGGTATTGTTTGGACTGCACAAATTAACAAATACCTGTCTTTATCTAGGTTTACCAGACAATTACCACAACAAAGACTGGAAACCCCCGACAGAACCCCCCTGTATAATCAAACTGCTGTGTGAGAAACACGAGGGGCTGGAACTGGAGGCCAAGGTTATTAAGGAACACTGGTGGAAACCCCACATTCGTAAATTGTTTGATAAGAAGGTAAGTTTCACACATATTTTTTTAAATGATCCTTAAATTGAAATAAACATTTCATCCTTTATACAGTAACTTGTTCATGAAATTCACAATTTCACAAAAGAGACAAAAAAACCACTGAAGCAACTAAGAATAGGCTTCAGTTGAATAACATTTAAAACTGTATAGAGAAAGGCATAACACTTTTCTGTTATGATTTTTTTCTTTTAACTTTGAGTATTCAGACTTTTTTTCCTCTTGACGAATATGAAATCAGGGTACATTTTCCATTTTTATAACACAAGTTGCATTTCTTTGATCCTACACTAGGGAGTCTTTGGAGGTCGTAGTTATTGATAATGTACTATTGAATGCTAAACTGTAGAAACTTGTTATTCTTTAGTCCAACTTATATAATATCTTTGATTCACGTTACACTCAAAGGATGAGTCAAAAATGAAACAGTAGAGAGTAACTGATTTTTTTTCTGCTTTCAATTTTAGGTACTGAAGGGAAAACCAGACACTTTATCAGCAATATTGGAAATAGGAAACTTTGAAGCAAACAGGTAATTTTGACGTTAATAATTGTTTTATGGTGTTGAATGCAGCCATTTATTTGTCATAACAATTTATACTGAAACTGTTCATCAGAAGTCAATGTCCAGATCAACTGAAATGTAATGCTGAACCTGTTGATGTAGGAGCTTAAAAAATACTCAAATATCAAATTTCTTTTCCACATATATGTATAAATGTCTCAATCTTTTGGCTGAAATCCATATAAAATATCTTGAAATAAGCTTAATGCCATCAGTCAAAAAGTTCAATTGTGAAAAAACAAATACGTTCATGACAAAGTTCAAATAAGAAAATCAAGTTGCGTGCTATAAGTTTGTAAATTAAGTTGTGAGTGATACGTTTGATTAATGTTTTTGTCTATTTTGTATTCATTAGCCTGAATCGTGTGTCATTGTAAATGTGGTGTGTTTCATGTCATGTGTAATCGTTTCTTTTATGGGTGTAAGAAGGCTCCTTAGTTGTTGTAAGTAGTTGTTTTATAGAGCTCTAACACAAATCTAATGCTCTTGTTATTGGAACAGAACCAGACACTTTTCCTGACAGGAGCATTGGGTTATTGTTTCATCTGTTACAAATAACATACTTTCCATGATTTTTAGTATGGTTAATGTTATCAAATGGCTATTTTCTCCGTGCATTTTGATCCTGTTACACCCAATCATTTAACCCTGGCTGAGTCTTGGACAAAACCTGTATCAAATTTTGTCATGTGCAAGTTGAAATAAAGTAAACAGAACACTTGTCAATTTGTTCCAACAATTTCAAATTGTTTATATAAGAAACACTCTTACTGATAGATAGCCTTTTTGATTTGGGCTACTAAGAGCAGGCATTGTTACATAGTAATAAAAAGCCTTTCTGAAAGTTTTGTGATCTTCTGCCATTTTTTGGCTTCAGTTTGATATGAGGATGCCACTGAAGCTAATATTCAAAAAGTATTTTCTTATTTTTTTCCCACCAAAAGATAGGTTGGTTACATTACCCATCAAATTCTGTCCAGTTTAGTCTGTCTGTTTGAAGCCCTGCTGAACAGTTTCTTTAAATTCATTTCAAAATACAGCAAACTTTGTGAGAAGATAAAGAATTTTAACATCACAGTGATCAGAAATGCAACATTCCGAGACCCCATTATTTCCTTAAATTGCTCTGAAATATCATGGAAAGTTCACCCAAGTTTTCTTCTCCTTTAACTTTTATCTGCTGTTATAAAGCCTGGGACATAGAGATGGGCTGTGGTACTGTTCTCCAGATATAGCCAGTATCACAATAAATGTCTAAAGGGGATTAATTTTATATTCCTACAAGGTCCGTTGCTACCATACACATCATTTCTCATTTGGTGGTCTATATTATCGTATTCAGTGGTTGAAAGTTATTTAATATTTGGTGATTTGATACATACTATCGTACTATTGGACTTTAGGAACTTTCCCAGTCATAATCAAACAACTTGACCACTGATTACCATACCAATCTCGTGGTGGTAAACAGATGATTGACAGCTGATCCCGTCGTTGTCTCCCACTTCACACTTTGTTTTACACAACCTACCATGTGATAAAGTAACAATTTATTTATGATATCATTTGCAATATTTCAAAGCCAAAACCGTTATCATCGATTATTAACATAGTTATGGATGTTGACTGGAGCTAGGTGTTGGTCAGCTGGTTGTCTCAGCAGATACTGACTGGAGCTAGGTGTTGGTCAGCTGGTTGTCTCAGCAAATACTGACTGGAGCTAGGTGTTGGGTCAGCTGGTTGTCTCAGCAGATACTGACTGGAGCTAGGTGTTGGTCAGCTGGTTGTCTCAGCAGATACTGACTGGAGCTAGGTGTTGGTCAGATGGTTGTCTTAGCAGATACTGACTGGAGCTAGGTGTTGGTTAGCTGGTTGTCTCAGCAGATACTGACTGGAGCTTGGTGTTGGTCCGCTGGTTGTCTCAGTAGATCCTGACTGGAGCTAGGTGTTGGTCAGCTGGTTATCTCAGCAGATACTGACTGGAGCTAGGAGTTGGTCAGATGGTTGTCTTAGCAGATACTGACTGGAGCTAGGTGTTGGTCAGCTGATTGTCTCAGCAGATACTGACTGGAGCTAGGTGCTGGTCAGCTGGTTATCTCAGCAGATACTGACTGGAGCTAGGGGTTGGTTAGCTGGTTATCTCAGCAGATACTGACTGGAGCTAGGAGTTGGTCAGATGGTTGTCTTAGCAGATACTGACTGGAGCTAGGTGTTGGTTAGCTGGTTGTCTCAGCAGATGCTGACTGGAGCTAGGTGTTGGTCAGCTGGTTGTCTCAGCAGATACTGACTGGAGCTTGGTGTTGGTCCGCTGGTTGTCTCAGTAGATACTGACTGGAGCTAGGTGTTGGTCAGCTGGGTGTCTCAGCAGATACTGACTGGAGCTAGGGGTTGGTCAGCTGGTTGTCTCAGTAGATACTGACTGGAGCTAGGTGTTGGTCAGCTGGTTGTCTCAGCAGATACTGACTGGAGCTAGGTGTTGGTCCGCTGGTTATCTACACAAATGCAGTTAAACTCAAATGTACCTAAATATAATGATCTTTCAGACTTTTCCTGACATTTTGCTATACTGATTGTTTGGGGATGGGTACTGGATCCTAGATAAAGTTGTGAACTTGGCCCAGGAAGAGAAGGCATTGCATATGTTGTTTTAGCTTATAGGTCACATAGTGCCAATGAATTTGCGAACGTCTGTTTAATTTTAAATAACCTTGAGATTTATAATCACAATATTTAAATAATATATAATCTGTAGCTTGCTGGGATGAAATGGTTAAGAAATTCTCTAATCATGAGATTGTCTTGTAGCTTGTCTTAGAGGAGTATCAAAAAAAGCTTGTCAAAAACAGTGACATTGACCCCTGCTATTAGTACGAGATCAACTGTAAAAAAAAAAAAAATGCATCTTTTTTGAGGACCTCCAGGCCTAAGGCATTCATACAGTTTTGAAATTCATGAACCATCATCCATACATACACACACTATACATAGTGTACCTAGGTAGCTGTACAGGCCCCATCTAGGTGAGCTATACAGGCCCTATAGGTCTTTTCTCTGTTTTGTTCTGTACCTAACCTTCACCCCACTGACTCGACAGTTGCTCACTATACATAGTGTACCTAGGTGAGCTATACAGGCCCTATAGGTCTTTTCTCTGTTTTGTTATGTACCTAACCTTCACCCCATTGACTCGACGGTTGCTCACTATACATAGTGTACCTAGGTGAGCTGTACAGGCCCTATAGGTCTTTTCTCTGTTTTGTTATGTACCTAACCTTCACCCCACTGACTCGACGGTTGCTCACTATACATAGTGTACCTAGGATAGCTATACAGGCCCTATAGGTCTTTTCTCTGTTTTGTTATGTACCTAACCTTCACCCCACTGACTCGACGGTTGCTCACACTTCCATGTTTTTGCATGATGTTTGATGATTGATTTGTTTGATGTTGTGGTTTAATGTTTAGTTTCTCCACTGCTTTTCAGTATTGCTATCAACCAAAGTTATGAAGAGTTTCCTTTACGATATAGCAGGTAATTAGTTCCCCTGCCCGATGGAGGCTGATATTCAAATAATGACCAGATTTTCATATTTCAGTCACCCAGCTGATTTCACTTACATCTTTGTTCTATCATCATATTCACATATAGCTGCATCAAATTTTTCCTGTAGTTTTGTGCCAAAACTCTTGGAAACTTATTTCTTCCTTATTTCATTAGAAGATATAATAAAACTGAAACTGAAGATTTGGTCAGTCAGTCCCTTCAATGTGGGCACAATGTGTCAGTAAAATTTCAATTTCATTCAAACCACATGCAATTCTTTTATTTTTGTGATACATTTTCATTCTCATCAAAAGGAAAAGCAAAGTGTTTTTGGGTAAAAGTTTGTTATGATCAAGTTTTTGCACATTACTACAAAACCGGAATTCTTACTATTTCCTTTTCATTTGCAAATTCCTCCAGGAAAGCTGTTGAAAAAAATAGTTTTTTCCCATGACTTTTCCCTGTCTCATCAGGATTATTCTTACAAGAACTGCCTTATTTCTAATTGTCTACAAATGACAGAATAGTTAACTAATGACATTCAGTATAACATGTCATTTTATTCAGCCCATGGAGTCAGAACAGAAACTAGAAATTAGAACAAATCTTTTTTTCACTTGTTTTCTTCAGCCATAACAGAAACCAGTAAATAAACCAGAATTATCTACCATATCTTACTCTGTGGAGTGTGTCATCATGCTGTTTAATTTTGAAGTTACTAGCAGTGTAACTGTAAAATGTCATTAAATCAACCAAATTTAGGTTCCTTGATTCATTGTTAATAGTATTGATTAAAATGTACCCTAAACTGGAGATTTTAAAAAGAGGAAGTTGCAAATGGTAAAGATGTGTGAGATAACGGTATTCTTATTTTCTTGCAACAGCAGGTTTCCTTATTGATATATCTTCAATATTATTTCAGTAAAACGATAAACAATCGGTACGAAGAGTATGTTCTGAGTGTTGGAGACTTTGACGAGCGAATATTCTTGGGGGATGATGCCGATGAGGAGATCGGCACACCTGCTAAGGCCTCGGAGGAGGTCACGGGAGAGTTTTCTGACAGGATGAACATTAAGAATAATCTACAGCAACATTTTGAAGAAGTAAGTGTATTATTTTCTATATTTGTGTGTACATAAAGTATGAATGTTAATGAGCTTGTACATGTTAATTAGTCTCCCTCTGGTACTACTTGAGGGGACTAGGTTTGCATCATTTGTATTCCATGTTTCCATCTCATTTACTTCTTAACACCAATTGTGATGACATGCAAATACAACTTCAGGTAACGGAGTGTACAAAAGTTAGGCCACTGACCTATATTTTGACAGTTGCACATTATGATTGAAACTGTTAAATCGGTGCTTATCTCTTCAACCAATTTTGTTCACATGTACATTTTTGTTCGGTGGAGCATTTGCATACCAACAGTAGGCCAACGCTATTTTGACCTCTCCCACCAATGTTTGGCTTAAGCTGGTGTTATAATGGCTCTAGTAATTGTCTGATGCGAGAGAAGTCATGAACAATATTTGGATAATGTCACAATGTTCTGCATTTGGAACCGTAGGGTGTCAGCATGGCTGCTGTTCATTGATTCAGTTTTCCTGGTACAGCAACAGCTAATATTTGATTTGCCTTCCACTTTGTTATACTTATTTAAAGGTAGCTTTATCCCATGGGTCTAGGATAACATCTACGAGAATTCCTCATTTCAATATCAAAACATTTTGAGTAATCTCACTGATCTGTCACTAAATGATAAATAATTCATTTGTACCAAAATATTTCACTGTGAACCAATAAGCTTGTTTAAAACCATCTGAAGCCTACTACACATAGCTGCCAATATTTGTTCATCAACTTTAAATAAATCAAGAGAACTGGTGTGGGGTTGGAATACACAGTTGTATTGTAATGTCAATAAAACAAAATTGAACATTCATTCTTGTATTGGCCAAAACTATGTACACCCCCCCCCCCCCGGTAACCATGCATTTCCATGTAACTTTATGACATATTAATTCATTTTCACAAGGGGTTGAAATTGATTAGTCAGTATTCATGTTTCATCCATGACAAAGTACAAATATTACAAATTAGAAACAGACTATAACATTGAACCTGTATTTCCACTCAACTTGCACAACACCTATAGGGAGCTGGATGATGGTAATCCAGCCTGGAAGCTTGTGATACATGTCATCTTCGCTATACTCTCCACTTACCCTTGGCGGATATAGCCGTGTTACCGAGCCTTCAAAGTTTTGTGCGGTGCCAATAGCTCGCATCCAATGAAATTGTGTCTTACATATATAGTGCTGTTGAAGAAGGAAAACAGTAATGGCGACGCCTTGTACGGAAGCACGTCATTTATGTCACTGTTTTGCCCCCAAAAAATAGGCGCACAATCTTTGGGGAAACTTCTGGAGTGTTAAATCAGTTGGTGGAAATCCTTGACTACGTGCCACATGTAAATGATGACCTGGGAAAATACGTGTGTTGCCTTTGGATTGTTTCCATATTGCTCTGTCATTTATACTCCGTCTCGACATACACATGCTTATGTCAATGCGCTGATGGAGTGTGTATACCTGCTAGGTGGCAGTGGAGGGAAATAAAAACAGCTATATCTGCCAAGGGTAAGTGGAGTGTATACGAAGCGAACACTTGGCTAGCGAAGATGGATACATGTTGGAGAAGCAGATGTTGGCATGAATGATGCCTGACTTTAGGGGGCCATTTAATTGTTTGTCTGAAGTACAAATATATTTGCCTTAAGGATCCCTATACCACTGAACTATGCATTAGAAACTTCTTTTTTTCTGGCTTGACCATAGCTTTGATAAATCATTTCTAAAATGAAAATCATGCCTGGCAGGTTTTTTATGGAAAATTATTAAAGATGAAATAAACATAATAAAATCAACTACAGTGTCCCGAGGCTAGACCTTGATTCAAACACTGGAATTGTTAAACTATCGCAGTAACTGACTGAGCAACCTGGTCCATGGAAGTTACAGTTATACCCATGATGAAATTAAGGGGAGGTAACTTATAAACGAAATATATGATACAGAATGTTGTAATGCAATCACACTTTGGAAAGATGCCGCTGATCGTCACAGTAACAGAGGACATAGCAAAAAAGTATACCCAAAGCGTGCAACAATGATGCTTAGGAAAAACTTTTTTTCAATAAGAACAGTGACAATATGGAACGATCTGCCTGAAAATGTTGTCTCCGCACCAAATGTAAATGTATTTAAAAACAGGCTAGATACCCACTGGAAACATCAAGAACTTTTCTTTAACTACAAATCATTAATCAAACCATAGACATTAACTTGTACCGAATAGAAATATATATATGTATGTATTGTGTAACATAAGAGTCTGGTATAGAGGACTTTCACTAGTCCTGAACCGGAAATAAACTTAACTTAACTTAAACTTAACTTAACTTAACTGAGTCTTTACTTATGGGGGAAACAACACTTTGCAGTGGGACATCATTGAGGATCCCGGTAGCACTACTAAAAACTAGCTAAGAATTGGAAACCATTTTTTTCAGGTATGAGTATAGCTTTTATAAATCATTTCTGAAAAGAAAACCATACCTTGCTCATTATGAAAAATAATTAAGTTGAAATAAAATAAATTATCATGTGTTGTGAGTAAAAATTTCAAAGGGGTTAGCCTGGGATTTGAACCCTTGTCTGCCATCTAGTCATCAGAAATGTACTAGCCAAAATGTGCTACATTTATATCCAAGCAGAAGTAAAGGGGAGGATACTAAAAATGGCCGTGTAGTGGTATAAGCATCCTTAAGTGAGGCCAAAAAAATGCCAAAAGTGATGTTTTTCATGAATCTAATGGAGCAATACCAAAGTGTTTGCATTTATATTCAGACGGACTTGTCAATGTGATGGATATAAAGATTATAGTGATATCATCAATTCAATCGATGACACCAAAGGATTTAGTGATACATTTCACCAAATTATTGAAGTGATATCACTTGAATGGAATAAAAAAAACACCTGCCAATTTCGCACAGCCAAATACAAATACAAAGAGGCATGTGACCATTGACCTCTTGTTAATGTTTCCAGGAAACTAGTTGGACATGAACACTCTGCAATATTTTGTCTTGACTGAAATCTAGATCAGTCATGGGTACAGAGTTTTGATCCTGAGCACCTAAAAGTTGAGAACCCAACTTGTAACCAGTTCATTTTTTCAAAATGTTTAACCCATACAAACCAAACCAGTTTTGAGAAGGGAAATCAGGAGAGATCATGAAACATTCTCCGTGTGATTAAATCTTGCTGATGAAAATATTGTTTTCTTTTCCTTCCATTAACTGTAAAATATAATATAAAATAAATCCTGAAGTTGCACCAAAGTATAACCAGAGGTAAGGCATACACAGACACATTGTGCTGAATATATATCGTATCGCTATGCATCATATCACAGGACTTGTATTGTGAGATCATCATTATCAGTCTAAAGTCAAGGTCACCAGTACAGAAAATAGGTGATCACTGGAGCAGCCAGACAGCTTTAGAGATTTTCATGCAATATGACTTACATTTGTCTATGACATAAATTTACCAGTTTCAGTATTGTCATCGTCAGTCCAAGGTCATGTCATCATGTCATGGTTGCTTAAATCACCTTTTACAGAATATGTCAAGTAATCTAACATATTTGTCTTGGACAGACCTTTTCACAAATTTTCAGTGTGTTCATCATTGGTCCAAGATCAAGGAAGTTTCTAAAAAATACTTAACTTTAATAGGTTTCTGATCAGATCAATGTAGTTGTCATATTTCATGCATGATTGGATTCATATTTTGGTAAGTTTGAGTATGGTCATCGTTGGTCATTGTTTTGACACAAATAATCCAGTCACTGTTTTAACTAAAACTGACAGGATTTTGAGGATTTTGAGATGGCTACATTACCCAAACCATATTCGCAAAATGTAAATCTTACCAGCAGTTAGTCAAGGTACTAGGATTGTGTCACCATTTCTCAGTAGAATTTCTTGAAATTTTGTAGTTATATTGATTTTAAGTAAAGTGAAAAAAATCTGCCACCAAAAAAATATAGGTTGTCAGAATTTTAAGGATTTTAAATGGAAATTTGTGTAAAAAGGAGTGAACTTTGAAGAAAAAAATTAAAGACACAATTTTTTGCAAATCAATGTCGATAAAAATGTTACTGAAATAGGTATTGCATTAATGTATATCAATTTCATAAATACTGAAATTGTGTAAAATTAATTATCTATGAATGATTAAAAAATGACATTTTATAATAAAACCATATACACATAGTAATTGCATGTAAGAGTTATCGTTCTTGAAAAACTTCACAGCAGTGAAATAGGTAGCCGGTTTCCTGAAGTACAGAAAAATGGACGCATGCGACTCATTGATTAAAAAAATGAATTAATGCCTGGATTGCTTTGAAATACTTTAATATTGAAAGAACACACTGTTCTGTCAATAATAAACATCAGAATATGCGGAAATTGTGATACTGTCTCCCTACATTGGACTAGGGATGTTCTTCCTATTTCCGTTTATCAATACACTCCTATGACCTTAAGTACAGCGTGTTCAGAATTATGGCGGACATGTCCGAAAAAATCACCTCAGACTGGCAATTTGTTTCCGATACCTCCCCGAATGTCCAGTAAATATTTCCGGCTAAATCTGGCAAAATGTCACTATATTTATTCTGTTATTAACTTGTAATTCTAAAAATCCACTTGCCCAACGATGAGGACAACAAGTTGGAGAGCTTGGGCAAGCTAAAAAATTGGACATAGTTTTTGCCTGAAAAACGTCTCAGTTTATCAAAGAGGAAGTTGCAATGGTGTGACTAAGAAGCAGACAGGTCCGACCCGGATTTCAGGAATTAATAACTAAACCAATAAACACATCCACAAAAATAAGTAAATAAAAAAAAAATCTAAAAGTAAATAATACCTTTCATAATTTTGCAGTTACTGTGAAAAAATTACCCTTAAAATATTTCATGAAGAGGGAGGATTGATGTGAGAGATAGCCTGCTGGGATAAATCTGTTTTCGTTTACAAGAGTATGAATAATGAATTATTAACCTAATGGCAACAAATTAAATGAATAAATTATTTACCTAATAACAACGAATTAAATGAATGAATTATTTATCTAATGACAACGAATTATATGAATGAATTATTTACCTAATGACAATGAATTAAATACAATTTTTGTTTAAAAATAAGCTTTAATCTCTTTAAATGTTTGGCACACACCAAGTAATCTGCTGACGTTAAAGCATATCCATTCATTAGCTGGTAGTCAGAGGCTATTTATAGTAAATAAAACATTTTGAAATTGTGTAGCATAAGATTTTATAGGTAAATAGCAGTGAATAAATACATATATCATTCTTGCCAACTCTCCCAATTTTGTTGGGAGACTCGATTTTGGACCCGCAATTTGAGCATTTTCAGCCAGTAAATGTACTAAATTATTCCTAGCTTCTAAGGTCTGATGATTTCATCTGAAAGAACAGCTCTAAAGATGCCATTTAAGTGTTATTATTTCCCTAGGGTGTACATACACACGTTTTGATTATGCTTTTAATTCTGAGCAAGTGTAATCTCCCCCAAAAAGTTGGCAAGTGTGATATATAGCAGTAGTAAAATTATCCCTATGACAAAGGAATAATGAATTCTTCAACAACTCATCATTATATCTTAAAACCCATCTAGGAGATTTCATAGACTGTTTATTCAAAGAAATATTGTGACTGACCTCATTAAATTTGTCGCTAAAGAGATTTTGGTTATCTGTACCTGCCTTAGAAATGTCACAGCAATAAAAACTTTTGAATTTAAAGTTAATTTTGAAATAAATAAAATAATGCCTACGATTGCCTGTTCTGGGTAAAGATATATATGTAACTCCTACAATTTTTAGCTTTTTCATAAACTGACCCCTCAAAGTACACATTGATGTTTGGTTTCTACTAGAGAAAAAGCCTATTGATTAAGGACATGCATGTAGTTTTATTCCCGCTAGTCATGAAGTGATAAGTGGTATTATGTTTTCATTTTCATTCGTCTATACATGAGCTGTTCTCAACACTTGAGCATGATCAGGTTAAATCACTACATTAAGTAATTTAAATTATGGTAAAAGACACTCACTTTTCATAAACAATTAGGTTTCTGTAATAGTTTGTAATGTCACTTTAATCGTAATAGACCCACTTAATTTTCATAAACAAAGAATATATTTTAATCAATTTGTTCAATAATTTGAATAGCAATTCTATAATTAACAAACAATGATACTGAACCCATATACTTGCACTTATATTCTGTGCTATTTTCATGGACCAAAATCACTTTTCCATTTTCATTAGCTTAATTAACAGCTGGTAATGTTGAAGGTAATTAAATGCGATTCATTGAAGCCGGACAAGGTGTTTGTGTGGAGGTGGTGATTAAATGCTGCTGTGTATACCATGTGTAGGTGTATTGATACCATCACCTGTGTAAGTGACAGGTCTGGACCTGTTCACTAACTTTCCCACTATATACCCAGTACACAGTGGAAACAAAGACACAAAGAGATAGTGAAGTTACTGTAGTGCTAGGTGGTGATCCGACCCTCCGTGTTACTTAGGAGGGACCAGGACACACCTTTAAGCTCCACTAACCAGTGTTGGTCAGTCAGTGGTCACTGTGGTCAGTGGTGGATGGAGCTGTATTATACCATACTTCACACTTACTATACACCTAAATGTAAACAATGGATTCTAGACTCCAGTGTGTGGAACGATGCCTTTAAACATCAGCTCTGCTTATCAAAGGATATATAAAGACTGTTTTAAATTCCTTCACTGTTTTGATTGGAAACTGCTGATTTTGTTAACTGTTCTGTGACATTTCTGTGGACTTGGTCTGTTCTATTGATTTCTTTTTATGGATGTTCAGCAAGAAAGCTGACAACAACTTACTTATCTTGTTCCCACAAAAATATATTTTCATAGCACTAATGTGTGTTAGATAATCTTGAAAAATAGTAGTCTTCTTAGAAAAATAGTATTTCTTATTGATGTGCATGAACTTGTGTCACATAAGAACATTTAATGAGAGTACAGTATTCACGACCAGACTAGATTTATGTCCGATTACATCATGTTGTGTGTGCCAAAATCTTTGAGGAGGAAGAAAAGGCGGTTCAGGAGACCACAGGTGTGCCCATGTCGAAGGAATTTACAACTCTCCTGGCCTAATGCTAATAGCCCATGTGTTTTTCTGTCATTTGAGCAGACGAGAAGTCTGGCCCCACTCACCCCTCTCACTGGCAGACGATACCTGAAGGAGAAAGATCACAGTATTACTCCAGTGTCCACCGCCACTCAGAGCGTCGGCCGACTCCAGCATCTCTTGTCAGGACGTAAAACTGGACCCAGCGAAGAGCTATTACAACTGTTTCAGTAAGTCTAGGGACATATGGTATAAAAACACAATTTTCATTTTTTTTAAAGACATACATTTAAAAGAGAGAGAAAAAAGAAAAAGAAAAACAAACATGACATCATTAAACTTATTTCAGAAAATTATTACAGCATTGAAATTGAATAGTTGTATTTTGTTAACACTATCAAGAAAAAAAGGAAGCTTTTGCACCAATTATTCAGGGTTGAATTTTGGTATTTTACTTTTGAGAATTTAAACTATGAAGTCCCAAAATTGTCACATATTTTTCGAATATATATCTGTTTTTAGGAGAAAAAGTGTCTTGATTTTATTTTACAATTTGGAGGGGAGCGTGGTATTTAACATTCTGATTGTTGTGATATATAAAAGTATGTATATTCTACCAGTTTTATTGAAAATGTCACAGTATTTTCCATATTGAAAAGAAACAAGTCCCAGTGGGAAAAGGGTAGAACAATTGTGTAGAATTGTTTTGAAATAAGGACATAATGAATGTGAACACCTGAACTGGCTGGGCTTTGTTGGTGTTGTACTACATTTTCAGATATTTTCAAAATCTTTGCAGAAATGCAACTTGTATTTTATTGAATAGTAATTAATGCTAGGTTTCAATTGTTAATTTATTTTCAGTAGTAATGAAATTATGTGGGGGGGGGGGGGGGGGGGGGGNGGACAGTGTAAGAGAATACACTGTGGCCCTAAATGATTTAAATTGTCAATGGGCTGTAAAACAAGACAAAACCATTCTACTTGGATACTCTCCAAGTCCAGGAATGATCAGATAGGTACAGGTTTTGTGTAGAAGATTTAGAATATCAATTCTTAAAGATAGGAACTTTTGAAGCAAGAGTAGAAAGATAGCTATTCTCTAATTTATTCCTGAGACAATTCTGCTTTCAAATAAGATATAAATTGAAAATAATTTTCTTTCGGCATGTAATTTACAATAGATGCACTGGGAGGCCTTCTGACTTGTACTTACTCCTGTGAGCTTATGGAATGAAACAGCTCTGTCTGGTGTCTACTTTCTTCTTTCAAACAACTTAGTATTCTGAGAGGCCTAGGGTAGTTCTAATTGACCTTTGGCATGCTGGGATAAAGAGCTATCGAGTTCGTTCACAAATTAGTACAATGGATACAAGTAAAAGTATTGAATTAAGATACTAGTGTATCCGTGCACTTTTCAGCTATACTCAGCCTACAAACAACTAGACAGTATCTATATTATATCCAATCAAATATTTGGCTTATTTGCCAATATTTTTGTTACTTGCAGAGAATGCAAAAAAGATCCCAACGAATCCATTATTCCTCGGTTAAAAGAAATGGGTGATATTTTCTGCAGTCATTATGTCCAGGTAAGTTAACCTACTTTTCTATTCAGCTTCCCAATTCAATTCAATTTGATGGTCAAACTTAATTCAACTGTCTAAGTCAAACTGAAACTAATTACATTTTATCGGTTCAACGTTATTCAGCTGCAACTCAAACTAAATTCAACTTGTGTTAATTGAATATTGCATTTTATCACTTTCTATTTGTAAAACTAAACTGAGAAGAATATCTGGCTTGATAATATGAATTTTTCAATCAATAATAATATTGTATTTGGTCCTTTCTTCTTTGCCCAAAGGCAACAGAGGACCACCCTGGTGCACACATTGACTTTGCCAAACGTCGTCTCCAGCTGGGGGAGAGTTTGTACTTCAAGACACTGGAGAGTGTCATCATGTCCGAGAAAAAACGCAGGCAAGGCAGCAAAGAAGGCATGGCAGCTATCACTGTAAGTGTATCTTATATTGGAGGGAAAAGGTTCTGGGGCCACACATTTACATACAGGTCAATGGTTAGGGATCACACATGAGGAAACAGTTTGGGTCACAAAAACATATCAAGTGTTTTAGAGCCACACAGATAAATGGGAAGTGGTGTTGAATTAACAAGGTCCAATATAAACTTGATGTGGCATATAACTTTCATGAAAGTTTTAATCCTGGAATATCAATAATAGCTGGCCCCCACTAATATCAAACCTGGTTCTTTTTTACAGGCATTGCTGGAGCAGGATATGTTTCACAGATCTCTAATTGCTTGCTGCTTAGAAGTTGTTATATTCTCGTACAACTCTCAGAGGTGAGTATAGCAATTGTTGTTTCTGTAAATGATAAATTAATGCAGAACACTTGTATTCAATGCTATGATAGACTATGTGTGCGGTAGAAATGTTTGATAAGTTTCAGTAATTCTGCTTCAAATGGCTAAACGTGAATGTGGAAGATGGACTTTTTAATTTCCCAGAAGGCTTTTATATTGAAGAAATTTGGAACATTCTATTTATAGGGGAGATTATTGTTAAAAGATATCTGTTGTTACTTCCATGGATAGGGGAGATTATTGTTAAAAGATATCTGGGCCCAGTTTTCAAAAGGTGTTAAGCTTAATCAGTGATTAGCATAAATTTTAATTTTTGTGTATCTTTAAAACAAAACCATCGAATTAGTAACAACTTTCTAGATAACAAGTATTCAGTAGAGTGAATTTACATGCAAAATTGTGAGATTAGACCTGGTATATTGACGAAGTTATAAAAGGTTGAAAAATGTCGTTAAATAGTGATTAAGCTAATCACCTTTTGAACAACTGGGCCCTGTTGTAACTTCAATGGATTGGGGAGATTAAGTCTGTTAAAAGATATCTGTTGTAACTTCCATGTATAGGGGAGATAATTGTTAAAAGATACTGTTGTAACTTCCATGGATAGGGGAGATAATTGTTAAAAGATATCTGTTATAACATTGGATGTTTACACTTCAGGATGTTTCCATGGATAGTGGAGATATTTGAACTGAATGCCTACCACTTCTACAAGGTTGTGGAGATCATCATCAGGGCAGAGGAAGGGCTGTCACGGGACATGGTCAAACATCTTAATCATGTAAGTCCACTACTGTCTAACATGTTCTCCTCAGGGCAGAAGAAGGGCTGTCACAGGACATGGTCAAACATCTTAATCATGTAAGTCCACCACTGTCTAACATGTTCTCCTCAAGGCAGAGGAAGGGCTGTCACGGGACATGGTCAAACATCTTAATCATGTAAGTCCACCACTGTCTAACATGTTCTCCTCAAGGCAGAGGAAGGGCTGTCACGGGACATGGTCAAACATCTTAATCATGTAAGTCCACCACTGTCTAACATGTTCTCCTCAAGGCAGAGGAAGGGCTGTCACGGGACATGGTCAAACATCTTAATCATGTAAGTCCACCACTGTCTAACATGTTCTCCTCAAGGCAGAGGAAGGGCTGTCACGGGACATGGTCAAACATCTTAATCATGTAAGTCCACCACTGTCTAACATGTTCTCCTCAGGACAGAGGAAGGGCTGTCAAGGGTCATGGTCAAACATCTTAATCATGTAAGTCCACTACTGTCTAACATGTTCTCCTCAAGGCAGAGGAAGGGCTGTCACAGGACATGGTCAAACATCTTAATCATGTAAGTCCACTACTGTCTAACATGTTCTCCTCAGGGCAGAAGAAGGGCTGTCACAGGACATGGTCAAACATCTTAATCATGTAAGTCCACTACTGTATAACATGTTCTCCTCAGGGCAGAGGAAGGGCTTTCACGGGACATGGTCAAACATCTTAATCATGTAAGTCCACCACTGTCTAACATGTTCTCCTCAGGACAGAGGAAGGGCTGTCACGGGTCATGGTCAAACATCTTAATCATGTAAGTCCACCACTGTCTAACATGTTCTCCTGATGGTCATTTGGGGTATTATTTATCACTTGCCCAATATATATTATCATCGTTTCTTAGCTAGTACTGGGCAGATTGGTCCATTGGTTCACCCCGAGTCCTAGATGTGCAACATCACTTTTGTTGGAAGATATGAAGAGCAGGGTGGCATCAAGGCTGCCATCTTTGATTTTCAGGGTCAAAGTTAACCCTATTCTCATAACTGGAGAACTTTCTCAAGATTTGTACACAATTCCCCATAATTCCTTGTGCAATGTTAAGTGGTTTGGGAAAATATTATGGCCTGCTAGGCAACCATAATGGATCTCATGATTAAAGTTTGTTTATCACCATTTCTCACTGCTATAGTTTCAGATGATCGTGGTTGTAAGTACGATAGATTTGGATGATTTGTGTGATATTATATTCATGTAAGCTTTTGTTATTGTAGATCGAAGAAAGCATTTTGGAGTGCCATGCTTGGAAGAATGAATCACCTCTCTGGGACACCATCAAAGATCAGAATAGCACAGTACCAGCATGTGAAGAGGTAAAGCTTAATTCTTCAGTTGCTCAGACATGCAAGTGCTGAGGTAGGACAAAGTATATATATATCCATACTATGTTTCTGTCTACAAATTTATGAAATGAGTTTGGCATATCAAAGGTGTTTAAATAGTTGCAGTTGACTAATACAATACTGGTGTACTTTACTTCAATCCATCAATAAGTAATTCCCATCTGTTAATAGTCTTCTTTTCCAGATTAATTTTCATATGTTTATGGATTTCTTTCCACAAATTGCCATAGTTTCTAAGAAAACATTGCATTTGAAGAACTTCCTTTTTAGCCCACCATCATCTGATGGTGGGCTATTCAAATCACCCTGCGTCCGTGGTCCGTCGTCCGTCCGTAAACAATTCTTGTTATCAGTATTTCTCAAGAAGTACCAGAGGGATCTTTCTCAAATTTTATATGCAGGTTCCCCTTGATCCTAAGCTGTGCAGGGCAATTTTTGAGACTGATCAGATAAACAACATGGCCGACAGGCAGCCATCTTGGATTTTGATAGTGAAAGTTTGTTAGCGCTATTTCTCAAGAAGCACCAGAGGGATCTTTCTCAAATTTTATATGTAGGTTCCCCTTGGTCCTTAGCTGTGCAGGGCAACTTTTGAGACTGATCGGATAAACAACATGGCCAACAGGCAGCCATCTTGGATTTTGA